TTATTGTGTCTAATAATTAAATAGACATTATGTTTAAAGGTAAAGTCTGATCTAAACATCGGGTAATGGTTTGGGCCTTGAAACTCATTTACTTACACATTTAAGGTGATGTATTAGGAACAGTTTCAGCTTCAGCTGTGGGAAAATTGAATTCCTTTATTAATCATTAAACATGATAAAAATCTCCTGCACTGTTAAAATTTGAAAAGGGGAGTGAAATCAAGTAGATGTATTAAACTCTTTAGAGTAGCCTAATTGTTGGATTTTGCTAATTAGTCCTAGGTTAATTAAAAATATTATGTAATTTAAATACATGTTTACAGTTTGAGCTTAAACATCACTATTCCATCTTAAAAATAATGCTTGCATCTGTGGTAATAATTGGTATTCACATATTGATGAAACCAACTTCCAGTTTAGTTTTTAACTCCAGGGAACTTTTAAATGAAGAAAGGGCCTCAAACCAAGGACACAATTTGGCTCAGCCTTTGACCGAAGGAACAGAGCACAAAAATGATAATGCAATTTTTTTCCCCCACTCATAAAATGTTTAAATATAAAAAAAGTAATTTTTTACAACTCCACCTATAGTTTGTCAAACTCACTTAAAGTCCTGATATAGATCTGTAAAATCTAGATTGTAAAATCTGATTTTACATTGTGTTTGTTAGCTTGTGCAAAATCACTTTGTGATACGGACGGCTGTTTGCCTGAGGACGGACAGAGGTCTTCACTCATTTAGAAGATTTTGACTGATAAATATCTGGAAAATCTGTTACCATACCGTCCTACTTAAAGCACCGTGAACAGCTCTACATTAGATTGTGTTTATTTAAACATCAAGGGGACAATAGTCATCATGTTAGGCAATCAATTTGGAAAGATGAGTCCTATGTATTTTTAGATGCATTGTTTCAGATGAGCAGAATTCACAGGTTGGAACATTCGTCCTGGCCACCCAGTGTGGTGATGTCTCTGTGGGCAAACGGCCGCCTGTCTGTCTGCCTTCCTGAGCTAACAGATCAGGGTCCATGAGGCATTGCAGCTCCACAAAGCTTAATGGTACCCAAATAAGGCCGGGCTGCAACACGCATGCAGGCAGGAGGCAGAGGCACTAGGTTGGCACCGACTCCCACATTCTTTTGCCTCTTTCAAAAGCCTTCTGTGCTGCGTCACACAACTACTACGTGATTAGACAGAACTTGTGCAGCTTTTGGAACTTTACAAGAGCTCTTGTGGAATGTAAAATGTCAAAAATAAAGGCTGGCATTTATTTTGCATATAATTTAAAGACATTCATACAACAAAAGAATAGTGGTAACCTGCCACAGAGCACACAAACAAAGCAGTAGAGTTTAACGTGGTATGAAAAATGCAGTGGAATAGTTCCCGACAACGTCCAGCCAACTGCACCACTCTGGACGTTGAGAGGTTCTGATATTGTTTGCTGAAATCTGTCTCAGCACTTTGAGGCCTGGGTTAAGATTAACTTGGATGTTTTTCTTGGGGGTCTCTTTGAAGTGGACTTAGTCCAACCTCTCCTTATCTTAATTAGAATGAATTTTGGAGTGCAGAGGTTCTTTTGGAAAGGAACACCTCTACTCCCCAGTTCCCTGAAGGCTACATTACTGCAGCTCTCTAAGGGACTGTAAGGTCCTGCGAAACTGTGTTTGCTTATATATGATCTTGGGTTTCTGAGGTTTCAAATGATAAAGGATGCATTTTCTTAAGATTAATAATTAATACAAATTGTGATTAAATTCCTTTGAAGGTTAACACTTTCTACTTGAGCTTGAGATCAAGTGTTTTTGTCACAACTATTTCAAAGTTATGAGCGATGGCAGCCAAAGCCTTTTCTTTCTCTGTAGAACAGGTTTTCTCCACAGCTTAGAGATCACACAGGCAGTGTTTACTGCTAACATGAGCGCTGCGCTTCTGGCTTTAATCCAAATGGTGCAGCGAGGTCCTGTCTCACAAAGGTCACCTGTCTTCCCGAGAATGATGTGGAACACACAGGAAGCACAAATCCCGGTCTGTGGCAGTAGACCTCAAGTTGGTGTGACTTTTAAACCCGACTCGTTCCTATTCTAGTATAACTAACAGAATATGAGTTATTAAACAATTGTAATCTTTGCATCTTTAGAAGTACTGGGCTCAGAAAATACCATACATGTTTCCCAAGCAGTTAGCCTTGAACCTTTATTGTTATTTAAATCATATATTAATGTGATTTGTTGCTCAAATTTCACAGTTTTTGTAACTTAACAGAATTAGTCTAAAAGATCTACATTCCAACCCTCACCTATGGTCACAAGCTTTGGGTAGTGGACTCTCCCTTACAGTTAGGGTGATAAGCTATAACATCTGCGAGGGGCTCGGAGTAGATCTGCTGCACTTCCACATCGACAGGAGCCAGTTGAGGTGGCTCAGATATCTGGTTAGGCTGCCTCCTGGACGTCCAACTGGGAGGAGACCCAATGGAAGACCCAGGACACGCTGGAGGGACTACGCTTCTCGGATGGCCAGAAAACATCTTGGGATTCCCCCGGAGGAGCTGGCCCAAGTGGCTGGGAAGAGGGAAGTCAGGGCCTCTCTGCTTAAGCTGCCGCCCTCGCAACCCGACACCGGATAAGTGGATGATAATGGATGGATGGATGGATGGATGGATTAAAAGCTTGTTGAATTAAAATTTTGAGTGTGTTTCTGTTTAAAAGTAATAAATAATTACTATCTTATAGGGCTGGGCAATAAATCGAAAATTAGTCGTTATCTAAATTTCTGACTCTTATTTAGATAATCCTTCCCATGTCAATAAATTTGATAATAAAAAATGAAAAGATGTGTGTAGGTTGGCAACTTCATGTCCCTTTAAAAAGCTGCACCACCTTAAGTCTCGTAAAAATGTGACTCAACATATTACATGTGACAGCCCCATCTAGTGGACAACTTTTGTTTCTGCGCATACCTGTAGTTATCGTCCATTTATCATTATCGAGGTGAAATCCTCAGTATATCGTGATATTGATTTTAGGCCTCATCGCCCAGCCCTACTATCTTACCTATTTTGCTTCCTGAAGAGTCTGTTTATGCCAGGCAGGATCATTTTGCAGGTTTTTACATGATTCTCAGCTTCCGACAATCGTAAATACACGTCAAATTTACGAGCACTGTAGTATGCTCAGAAGGACCGCTCCTATCATAAATCTGGGCTATCAAATGTGTTGGAATATCTGATTTCGAGAACATACAAGAGACATGCCTCTTAAATGTGGCATGTATCCAATCAGCAAACAAAGAGAAGAACACACGTTCCACGCTCCTCCTCCACCGTGTTTGTTTACTCTGAAATTACGTCTGATCTCGAGCAGTATGGTGAAACCCAGGAATGTTTGTGGAAAACTGGTTCAAGTCTAGTGTGTTATTTTCTCCATCGTGATGCACATCACACACTATGGGACCTAAGTTCTTATATCTATGATTTTTATTTTATCAACACGTGTGCAGGCTCTCGTGTTTGAAATTTTGTCCGACAATTATAAACTCCTGCAGGGTGAACCTGACCTTGTGTGTGACAGGATTATTGAGCTAACAACTAGTCCAGTGCAACCAAGACAAAAATGGACTGCTGCTATCTGCAAAACATTAGAATACTTCATACTACTGCTAATTTGGCATTGCACACTTATTTTATTGATAACTAGTGTAAATATCAACAGCAGATAAATAAGAGATTTTCCAGTTCATCCAGGATTCAAATGTGGCAGGTCTATCTTGACATTTCTTCAGAACATTTGCATAAATCACTGTAAAGGTCTTAGCAGTAATACACTTTGTACTTAATTGTGTTTGGACTAGTGCATCCGTAATTATTCATGACATTTTACATAAAGGCAAACTTCAAAATAGCTTAAATATCCATGTACGGTCATTTCACATCAGCATCTGTATTTTTGTGGGACATTTAAGGTGGAACTATCTATAAAGATTACATTGTCCTGTTCTCTTTGCACATTTTCTATTATAAACAGGAGTTTACTTTCAAAAGGTCAATGGTTATTCTAACATCCAAGACTCTAGAGACAAAGCACTCAATGGCTTTAATGTATACTCACACAAAATGTTCACAAAACTGCTTTAAGGAAACGAAGTCAGTGAAGTGGTTGGCTGGAGGTGACAGATTTACAGACCATAACAACAAGTGGGATGGCGCGTGAACTCTCGGTTGTGGTTAACATTAACAACAACTACTCTCTGAACCCTCCTGGCTGTTATTGCACCACGTTCAGAGCTATTTGGTGTTCAGTGGATCAGTCATCTAAATCTCACTGTGCTCATTCATTATAGCAACAGCCAGCAGGTCTCGCTGTGCAATCTGCCAAATGCATTGAACTTTTATTAACTGCTGTCATTATTTAGACTGCTCGCTATTGCTTTGGAAATGAAAATGTCAAAATGGGGTGTAGTTTCTTTATGAGTCAGTGTGTGTGTGTGTGTGTGTGTGTGTGTGTGTGTGTGTGTGTGTGTGTGTGTGTGTGTGTGTGTGTGTGGAGTTTTCTTTTTTTTTTTTTTCCTGCCTGGGTCTTTATGGTCAAATGGTAGCAGCCATGCCCTCCGGTATTCTAGCTTCCAGCCTTTGAATTGAACTTCAAAAGATGGATAAAATAACTCCGTTCAGACAGGAAACAGAAACCCTTTATCTTAATTAGAAATAAAGCAATTAGACTGCACAAACTTTGTTATTTTTGTACAAAGACTTTGCGTGCCTCAAACCTCCCACTGAGCACTGGCCAAGACTCAAAATCAAGTTCTGAGGTATCGAAGGAATCACGCTAATAAGAGGTATTAAATGTCTGTGCCAGATCAAAAAACAAGTTGCACAATTCATTTTCAAAGAAATGTTGTTTGATTAAGCCTTGGTTTACTTGTCTTCTGTGTTTTCTTTTGGAGTTTGATAAGGTGTTGCACAGCATTTCAAGAATCTTCATTGTTTTTGTTTGCAGGAGGCAACAAGTTGAGGAATCAGCAGTTTAGACTCAACTGGGCTTGGATCTCTTTGGAAAAGGAATACTATGTGGTGGATGAAGAGGTCAAGTTCCTCGAGGTTGTGCTTAAACGTCGTGGTTACCTGGGGGAGACTTCATTTGTTAGTAAGCACATGTTTGTTTTTTAATTGTGTGTACAAAGTCTTTTTGACCACATTTCAAGTTGGAATTCTTTGCAGTTACTTAAGTAAAGATCCCTCGAATCCAAGCAAAGAAACAAAGACTGTATTGTTTGGGAAGCTATTATATGGATGGACAAGCTTGTCCTTTGATATATTCTAGGACAAAAGCAAGTATCCAATAAGGTCACACGGGTCGTGACCTTTAACCTTCCTCCTCTGGCTAGTGTTTGTGTTCAAATCACAGAATAGCAAAAGGAAAATCCCATAATGATTGTGCAAAGTCTTCTGAAGTTAGAGAGGCTTTCCTAATTTACTGGGCCGAGTTTGAAATGTTAATGCTGCAAATGTCTGTAGCATTCTCGCTGCTGTCACCAATCCCTTGTTTTAGTCTAGCCATAAATTCTATTCATGAAATGAGTTTGGATTAAAATGACCTGCTGGTAAAGGTCAAATTAGATAAGAGATAATTTCATGTAGAGTTTTGTCTTTCTTTTTATGCCCCTGAGCAGCAGCAGTGATGAAACGTCTCAAAAATGAGATCCAATTTTTTTTTTTTTTAACTGCATTCACTTCATTTTGCCTATTCAAACAATAAATCTTTCACTCGGACTACCCTGCACTTTAGATTTTTTAATAATCCCCAACAAGCGATGAACAGAAACGTGATTTTAAAGATAGTGGTGGTTTTTATGTTTAAGGGGACATATTATGCAAAACTGACCTTTTGTATCCTTTTGCACTGCTATGTGCATCTTTACTGGCTTTATAAACACTCCCAAAAAAATGCATCAATCCATTTTCCGTCAGTGTTGGATTTTAGGAGTTATGTGCTAAAACCAAGCCGTTTCAAAAAGTGCCAGTTTGTGACATCACACAAAGGAGGCGTTGCCTGGCTGTCCAAGAGGGCAGCGCTATGTTTGTGACTGATGGCACCCACGTTTCCCAAGGAGAAATTCCAGGACACATACACTCCACTCTAACTGAGATGCAGACAGACAGAAACGTAGTAGCATGCTTCATGGTCTGGAGGATTTCTCTCCACCTTCTTCACCAGAAGAAAGTTTTTTATTTTATTTATTTATTTTTTTTTTTTTGGGAGAGGTCATTCAGCCCTGAGCCAAATCATTCTGTTTAGGCTCATGAGTGGCCAAGTCAGCCAGAGGCGTGGCCGAGACTTGGCTGCAGTGCAGTGCAGCCATATAATATGATACAGGAAATGCCACAGGGTACCCCTTAGCCAATAGTGATGGCAGATTTAAATTCAAATGTAGTGCACAGTTTTAACCTGAAAAGGGCGTCATAGTGAAGGTTTTAGGCAGAATATTTATATTTGAAATAAGATGCATGAAAAGGTCAAAATGATGATTATACATGTCTGCACTATTAGACACTCATTTATGCAGTTTATCAGCAAAAAATAAGTTGATTGGGAGGTGACTTGCAGGACAGAGCCCTGAAACGACTCATTGTGGAAGGTACTGAAAATAAAACTGCTCAACATGGCAGACCACGACTTATGTTACTTGTGGAGATAACACAACAAAGTTGCATTTTTCACTCAAGAAAGAAAGGGAACAAGGGGAGGAGTCACGCTTATTTTAACCAATCAGGGGTGAGATTTTTGCATATCATGAATATTAATGAGAATTACTCTTTGTCCTGCCGTTTTCCACCTCCCACTTCGCCAACTAACTCCTACTTCCTGGAGCAAAATAAAAACAGCTGAAAAACCAGATGACCTCACTTTTCAGATTATTATAAAACCACAAAGATCACTTGTAAGTCACTTTGGACAAAAGTGTCTGCTAAATACATAAACACAAACAAAGAAACAAGTTTTGTTTTCATTGCAGCATCAAGTTGTTTTATTATTAATGAACGCATTAAAGAGTTAGAAAAGTGCCACAGTGAACTGTGGATGCACTAAGATTACTGCCCACAGACAACAAGCCATGTTTGATATTTTTATTGTATTATTTTTTTCTGTCTAAAACAATGCAGATTTTTATTTTTGATGTTCTGCAGCACTTTTTCACAAGAAGCTCAACGGTGTAGGTGTCATTATTTTTTACTCTGATCTGCTTAGTTTTGACAGAATCTTCAATACAACAACGGCAAGGTGCAGGTTTTATTTCTAAAGACTTGCTGAAAGTGAAGACATTTTTATTAGTTTCTCAGCACACCAAGTTATTAAATGTTCACATCCTTGAGCTGATATCGTTTGGTTTGCTTTGTCTGTGTAACATGTTCTTAGAAATGATGCATTTTTCCTCTCTTCTGTGAAAAACTGTTGACAAATCCAGTCTAAAGTTTGTGTGAGACCTCTTAATGTATTATTATTTATAATTGTCATATTTTTTAAGGGTGTAACACTTATTGTCTAGAAAAACCACACTGCCTCACCTAGTTTTTAATTAAAAAAAAATAGCCTAAGCAAAAATAACTTTGGCTCATAAACAGCTATTCCTTTTTAATTTCACTTACTCTGCAGCTTCAGTAGCTCATCTGCGTCATTCCCCATCGTGAGACCCCAATTTACAACACATTTTCTGCCTTAGTAAGGGTGCATGTGTGTGAAATTTCCAAGTGCAGCCGTGGTTTTCACACTGCGAATTTCACTCTGTCTGATTTGCTGAGGTTAGGAGAGGAAAAGCAGGAATCCAATTTGGTTAACTGACAAACATTCCAGCAGAGCAGATGGCAATAAGTGATGAAGAAGAACCTGATACCATATCAGTATATTTTCATGGATGCTTGGGGATATCTCTTCTTGACCAGCCATGTCAGAGTGAACCCTTATCAAAGGACTCCCCCTCCAGTGGTGGGCTATTGCCTCACACACGGGGAAGGTGGCACCGGATGGGAGTCTACTGTGAGCCCACCTGCCTCGAGTCCTCAGAACGACTGTTGTACTCTGACCCATTCAGCTCAGGCACAGAATTTAAATGATGCTTCTGAATCTAGCTGCTCTTTGAAGGCTGCCGATCTTTCAAGCCCAATTGAGTGTGACTGTTTTTATCTCAGCGCATATGTGCAGAAGCATTTTCCTCCTATCTGCTCTTGCATATCAAAGTCCGGTTTCATTTTCATCAAAGACTAGAATCATCGTTTTGAAAAACCCTAACTTTGCATACCTCGATCTGCAGACTACTGAAGATGTTGTGTGCAATCACACACTGATAGCTCAACATTTTATTCAGCGTTTCTTGAATTGAGGCCACTTTAATACCCTTTATTTAGCTTTCATGTGAGTAGTGCATCCATTTTTTATTCTGTGTTCTGCCGAGCCCTGGTGCATGTTATGTAGCCAGTAAACAAGGATAAAGGAGAAGCTGTGTTACACTTTACTGGTTTTGGTACTCCTACTCAACAAGAATCCCACCAAAGTCACATCTAGGGTGACTATGAATGCCATCAAAGGTCAAAATATGCTAAACTCGGACCACTTTTTCAAAGACCAGGCTGGTGTTAATTGAATTTTCACCAAATATAATTTGACTTTGAAAACCTCAAAGCAAATATGGTTGATTTTATGGAGAGAGAGAAAAAATATTTTAGGGCCTTTCGTTCGAACGATGGACGTTCTACAATCACAAAAAGAAATCAAACAGAATGCCCCTGACCTCAAATCCAATATATCTGCATTGTGCCGAAAACTGATGATAGCTGCATATTAAACTATTTGCATGTGTCAGTTTTGCTTCTCGTCCATCTCACAGTAGTCAGTGAAAAGATGATGTGGTACTTTCACAAAATATGGAATGCAAAACCTTTTTTAACGCAAAAGTTGTACAAGAGTAAGTACAGACATGGGTGCTGAATCAAACTTTTGTGGATGTTAGACTTTATTTCTAACAATCTAATTGCTCACATCTTTTCTTAAGGCATCGGCACAAAGGATGGCTCTGCAGAAAAGGACAAAGACTTCCGTGGGAAGTCTCAAAAACAGGTGCAGTTCAACCCAGGGCAGACCACAGCCACCTGGAAGGTCAGGATCCTGTCCGACAGCGAATATGAAGTGTCCGAGACATTCCAGATTGTTCTGTCAGAGCCTGTTATGGCAGCTCTGGAATTCCCTGAGGCTGCTACTGTGGAGATCTTGGACCCTGATGATGGTCAGTAACTGTCTGATCTGAAATTAGTATTCTGCCTAATTAGAGTGGTGTTAAATATTAAATATTTGAATATTTTTTTCTAATATTAGGTATTTGATGTCACATATCTAACATCAAAGTGATGATCAATCATTATGCTTAGATAAACTTGCAGTAAACAAGATAAATTTGTCAGTTATGATCTGAACAAGCAGCACAGGGTCAAATGCAAAAGTTTGTCTGTATAAAAAACATAAAAGAGTGAAAAAAGCTATTCATTTGCATATGAATAATGGAACAAAATGATTCATCAGAATGACTTGTTTGTTTTTCCAAGCAGCAAAGAGCTGAGTTAAAGATCCTTCAGCTTTTATCAAAATTATTTTCATGTTTGGATTTGATTATGGAGATTTATCTTTCATCTACCTCCGGGCATCAGAACACTATAAATACAGATGAAAGATAAAAGAAAACTGAACCAAAGTAAACCTGCTGTGAACACAGATCCTGTGCATCAGTGATGGAGTCATTGTCATTACTCAAATGTTATAAGACATTATTAAAAGAACATAGACACTAATGACTTGCCATACATGTGAAATGTTCTCAGTGAAATAACCGAGGAAGCTCTGCTAGAACAGAGGAGAAAGGTGCTGCTGAGCAAACGCCAATAGACTTGGGCTAGATTACAGTGCATGTACATCCCATAGGGCTTTACTGGGTGGAGAAGAAGAATTTGCAGTAAACATTTTATGCTAATGAGCATGTTTAGCTGCAGCTTGTTTTTAAAAATGCCACTCCCTGAAGGGCAATAAAAAAAACTGGCAACTGCGTCTTTTCAGGATCTAAACTTATTGATGTTTCTGCACGCCTTGTGCAAACATCACCATCCTGCAGCCACGTTTATTACCATATATTCTTACACCGCTGTTGGTTTCTAACATTAAAAATAGTTTGGCTTCTCAAGGTCAAATAAACTCTAAAGGCTTATAAAAAATGTATGTTCTGTTTTCTGGAAGGACCAAAAGTAGAATAGCCTAAGGACTGGCATCAAGAAACTAGAAAGATCATTTATCTGAAACCAGACTGATTATGCTTGCTTAGATTGGGAGCAAAAACAGTGTTACAAATAGGATTTCCTGAGTTGGCTTGTTTGTGCAGGAAAGGACACGTATTGCTAAATAACTAATGTGTTGTTAATGTAGCCATCCATAATACTCACTAAGAGGAGCTGTGTGGATTTCATGGCTGAAACGTTCCAAGCTTGTTACCTTTTTGAATGTCATGCAAAGCCCAGAGAAGGAGACGATAAATGGAGACCTGCCAGTGAAACATCTAAGGAACAGAAGAAGTGATTCAGCTTTGCAGACTTGGAACGTGAACTCATTTTATCAGACAATGAGCCAAACATTTTCTACTGTGTTAAGGTTTTTAGACAGGGTTATTTTTATTCACTAAACTATATCTACAGTTTTTTTTGCACATTATTTTTTTTTTACATTATTTTGTATCTTCTAACATTCAAACGTCTTTTTTTAAAGATGTCAGCCAATTACGGGTGTTAAATCTCCCTAAATCTCCCTCAGATAATGAGTAGATGGCTGGTTTTGATTTAAAAAAAATTGATTAAATTGAAGCACAAAACAACAGAGCTGTAATGAGATCTGCTGTGGTCCCCGTAAAAAATGTTCTTTTAACTCTGAACAGACTAATGTGCTTCCTCAACACGTATAACTTTGAAAGTTCTGCTGTTATTTTTGTGGAATTGTAGTAATTTCTTGAGTCAGAAAAGGGCAGGATGCCTTCTTCAGGTCACGTCCTGCCCCAAGTGGAGTTTAAGTATCTCTGGGCCTTGTTCATGAACGGAGGGAAAGATGGAGCAAGAGACTGAAAGGTGGATTGGTGCAGCCAGAAGATAAAGCTCTCATTTACTGGTTGTTCTACGTTCCTACCCTCACCTATGGTCACGAGCTTTGGGTAGTGATCCAGACAATGCATACTAGTGGCCAAAATGAGTTTTCTCTTGCAGGGTGGCTGAGCACTTGCTTAGAGATAGGATAAGAAACTTGGTCATCCGGGAGGGGCTTGGAGTAGATCTGCTGCTCCTCCGCAAAGAGAAGCTCGTGCATCTGGCACGGATCTCTCCCTGGTGAGATATTCCGGACACGTCCAACCGGAAGGAGACCCAAGGGAAGACTCACATGCTGGAGGGACTATGTCTCTGGCCAGGGAATGCCTCGGGATTCCCCCGGAGGAGCTGGCCCAAGTGGGTGGAGAGAGGGAAGTCTGGGCCTCTGCTTAGGATGCTGCCCCTGCGACCCGGCCCTGGATAATCAGGGATGGACGGATGGTGTAAAAGTTCATTTGAATGTTGCTGTATTGGGAAGGGAAATCTATTAGCACATTAACCACACCCCTCACTAGGTAGAGTGGGTTGTCCAGTAATCAGAAGGTTGTAGGTTCAATCCCAACTCCCGCCAGAGAATGCTGCTGTTGTGTCCTTGGGCAAGACACTTAACCCTCCTTACCTGCTGGTGGTGGTCAGAGAGACTGGTGGCGCCTGTGTTCGGCAGTCTCGCTTCCGTCAGTGCGCCCCAGGGCAGCTGTGACTACATTGTAGCTCATTCTCATCAGTGTGTGAATGATTGTGTTGTGAAGCGCCTTGGGGGGTTGTACAACCATAGCAAGGCCCTATACAAATACAGACTAATTAAGAGGCCCTCGATCATATCGCCAACATCAGTATATCAATTATATGGCCATTGATCAAAATGCAAAAATTGATAGAACAACTATTTATGAAGCTCACTTTTATTTAAAAAAGTGGCTTCACTTTAAAGTTCTGCTGCCATGAAATGATGAAGCTAAATAAAAACGCCAGCAGCGTCAATCGGTGGATCCTCAATAGAATCAAATCAAAGTGATACTGTGACTGAATTTGACATATCAGCAAACATTGCATCGCAAATCCACTGTATTGATATAACATTGTATTGTGATCAAGCTGTCTTTACACCCCTACAAAACAGATATGTTGCACTAAAATCAGATCAAATTTACCAGAACTAATCAACAGTTGTTTTTGTACAGAGTCAACAGTGTTCATACCCTCAGCTGTGTACAACGTAGAGGAAGACATCGGCGAGCTGCTTATTCCTGTGCTCAGGAGTGGAGACGTCAGTCAAGAGCTGATGGTCATGTGCTACACTCAGCAAGGTAAGCCTGCATAACATGTGCATTTAAAGGGAAACTATGCCATATTGGCTTGCTTTTAGCACCCTCTAGAGTCCGTTCTTAATTCTCTGTTGAAAATCCAAAAGTGAAACTTTTCTTCCTGCTGTGCGTTTGTCTTTTTAACACTTTTTAATTGCTTAAATGTCTCTTCAGCCTTCATTTGTTTCTACAGGAGCGATTTATCACTAAATGAAACAAATTAGCTGTGTTCACGATCCAAAACATGCAGCAATCGTGCCGGAAGTAAACTCTAGCGCCAGCACATGTCAGCCCCACTTTACAAATGTGGGATTTCAAAATTTCAAAATGTGGAAAAAGTTGCTAAGTATGACTTTAAACTACTATGGTCAAATGCACTGCAAGTTCCAGAGTACTTTCCCAATATTTATCCGTGATTTCAAAGACGCAGGCTTAAATTTGTTTTTCTGGCATCCTAAAAAGCAAACAGAAGTTACCATCTTGACATCTCTGGAGTCTTAATTACTTCTAGCCTAATCTTGTCAGCTCAAAGTCAGACAGTTGCATTATCACACATCAAAAGTAGATGAAAGTTTTTGCACTCACAGCATTTCATCAATGCATTTGAAAAAAGATGAAACACTGAAAGCGTTCTTGCTTTAGACGTGAACTGAATGTGATGCAAAGAGGTTTGGATAAAGGATGTCATATTTTGTATTTGTTTTTTTTTTCTGTCCTTCCAGTGTCAGCCAAAGGCACCATCCCCACCACAGTGCTGTCCTACTCTGATTACATCTCCAGGCCTGAGGACCATCACAGCATTCTTCGCTTTGATAAGGGAGAGATAGAGAAATCCTGTCGAATAGTTATAATTGACGACTCTCTGTACGAGGATGAGGAAAGCTTCAATGTCACCCTCAGCATACCCATGGGGGGCCGCCTGGGCGCCGAATTCCCCACAGCCAGAGTCGTAATCATTCCAGATATGGATGATGGTAAGGTGCCAATTTCCTGATTGTAAGTACACATTCAAATGCAATCAGGCTAATAAGTAATTGGGCTTTGATTCTTCTGTGACTTTTTAGCATATTTTGGTTGATAATTTTTACTCTCCATTCTGAATTACAGGACATTTTTTTACTTATTTTTTTTTCATCTAATCATCCTTTTTGTTCCCCTGAGGCACTTCCATCAAATTTGAAGTTTCAAACAAATTTTTAGGTTTTTCATCTGAATTAACATTTTGCCACCTAACAGCCGGACGGTTTACTGTGATAATTCTTTAGAGAAACATCTCTAGAATAGAAAAGCCGAGAAACAAGAATAGATTGATCGTGTTTTTGCTTCAGCGCCCGTGACAATAGCAGAAATAATTCAGGTGTGCAGTCCTTTTTCCTGAAGAGTTTATCTCACACCTGCAGGCTCACACTGGAGGTCCGATAGTCTACCGCATCTTCCTGATGTCTCTTTGTTCCACCACCACCTGACAGCCTCTCCTCGCTTCCCTATCACTCTGACAATCTCCATAAGCACTACTCTAAAGTCAAAGCTCTGTGTTTGCAGGCAGGAACCCGTGGAACTGAAAAATCCAGCGTGATTACTAAACTGTCCGTTTCTTCTTTAAGGCTAATCCAAACCGTGGACAGATAAGTGAAGGGATGATGAAACGTTCAGTCCAGAAAATTGCTCCTGGGTTGTTTATTTTTATTTTATTTTTAGAAAAGTTAAATAAATAACACTGGAATGAAGATTCCCTAAAGTTTTCTTTTCCATCCTTCAGCTTGTAGTCAAAGCTCAGCTCTAAGAAATCAGAATCAAGTGAATCAATTATGTTTTTACATGCTTTAAGTGTATTTTTATGTGCATGAAGATGGAGGAAGCCACATGTTTGGCCACTTTTCTTTCTTAGACAGCATGGAATGTAACCTGAGAGGGAGCCGAGGACCTTTTGACTCCGTACCTCTCCTGGGTATTAACTGCAGGTTGCCTAACAGCTGCTGAGGCTCACCTGTCACTTCCTACAGCATTCAGTCTTCTTCACAAAGAAATATGTTTCCATTTCTGCTGTTAAATTACATTTTCACGGCTCTATTGAAAGCTCTGTCAGTCATGAATGTCTTCTCACATATATATATAGGACAGGTTTAACACTATGGCAGTTTGCTTGTCTTTTACTCTTGAATGACGATCCCATGTTTATAAATCCAATTAATTCAAGTCACAATGTTGCATAAGAACACATGAATTATGGTTTATTTTAAAAGTTAATTGAAAAAAGCTTTGGATTATTGGTTGAAGAAACTAACCAGTTTGTTACTGGTAAATAGCCCATTCATGTTCATACTGTTTTTTAAATTGCTTCTAGATTCTGTCAATAATGAGGATGCTGTTGTTTATTTTGACTTTTTACCTTTCTCAGCAAATGATTGTACTTCTGAAAAGGTTTGTTCATTACAAGATAAACCAAGTTCACCAGATTTGTTCCACTTTTTATTAGCTTTCCTTCACGATCCTAAGAGGCGGATTACTTCACTGGGACTGACAATCAGCATTAATGTTTCTTTTTCTTCCTTTTCTTTCATTTTCTAAATTTAATGAGTGACTTAAGAATAATAAATTACTGATAAATAGAAAAAATTCTAAATTCATGATTTTTGGTAGCAGAAAAATTGATGGTTTTAACAGGGATTCCCTAAGTGTGGTGCGCGCACCCCCGGGGGTGCGAGAGCTGCCGCTAGGGGGTGCGCGCGGTGAAAAGTGTAATGGCTGTGGAGCTCAGAGAAGTCTGTCATATGTCACCATTAGCGTAGCCAGAAACTCATTCGTGGGTGGGCCTAAGAAAAAGTAAGTGGGCCCAATAAATGTAATTAAATACAATACTTTTCGCTTGTGTGTGTGTGTGTGTGTGTGTGTGTGTGTGTGTGTGTGTGTGTGTGTGTGTGTGTGTGTGTGTGTGTGTGTGTGTGTGTGTGTCCTCCGCATGTGCCCTAGCTTCATAATAATAATGCGCCGAGCTTTAGCGCTCTGGCCTGCGCACGCTGTCAATAGCAAGATATGTTCCGTATTTGATCATTTTTAACGGTGTTGGAGAAATCTGAAGGTGGCGAGTCATTCTGGCAGATAGTAATTAACACCCTGTCTCATGCAGGTGTTCTGGCATTGTAAACCTCACACACAGAACATTGTGGATGTAACAAAATAAATCAAGAAATGATTCCCATCTGAGCATTTTAGCATTATTATATTATTATATTAGCACACTGACTGTGGGACAGCATTCTAAACGTGTCAGGCTACTAACAGCGCGCTGAAGATCTGAAGTTCAGAGTGCGTCTGTCAGAGGTCAGACGCGTTCCAGCGGAACCACGGCTCACGGGGGCACATGTGAGAACATCTGGGCTGGGCAGAAGTCATTTTACAACATTGGTTTAAATAGCGCCAATAACGAGACGCGGTGACTGGAGCGGCTCATGGAGCACTATATGAACAGAATTCTAAATTATTTAGTACTTTTAAATAAAATATGAAGTTTGATATTGTTTGCAATTTAGATTAATTTAACGTACACGATCATAAAAACAGAATTCATTTTCCTAGTTGTTGGTTTGCACAAGATGTTTCCTCCTACTGTCCCTTTTCACTCGTGTACAGTAAATATTATTAGAGCATGTTTTCTGATTTAATGACATTTTAATTTTTAAATTGACTGAATTAACTAAACTAAAATGTATTTAAAGTACAACAAAGGTTTTATGTGCATCTTGTCAGATTTGAGCTCTTGTTTAATAATGACTCAAGCAGCCAACATCACCTCAGCTGCAAATGCACTTTTATAAACACAAAAAGACACATATGTACCCTTAGTTGTGCCGATGTCGCATACGTAGAAGGTCACATTGATGTGGGTACGTCTGTTGTCTCTTAGCAAGAACGTTAGCACACTGTAACTGTCTCTGTTTGGATTTCCTCAAGCTCTTCTGGTTTCCTTACACAATCTAATGGCATAAATGCTAAACTGACCTGAGTTATGAGTGCTTTGTCCTTGCCAAGAACTAGCAACCAGTGCAGGATATACCCTGGCTATCAGTCAGTGTCCGATCAGATAGGCTCCAACCCCCCTCCTTAACCCTGGACAGGGTGAAGGTTATATAGAAAATGGAATAAAGGTGTCAAAACATGAAGAGTGAGAAGGAATGAGATGATGCCAACCCTTCATGTCTCCCCTGAAGGAGTTGATAATGAAAAAGCTTGAGCATTGATGCTGAAGTAAATGGTAAACAGCTCTGAGGCAAGAAGAAGAAGATTGAACTCCCGCCTGAAAGGGTAGAGAGGCAGCAGGAGATTCATTACAACTTTTAGTTCAGCTGTTCTGGCTAAATTCAAGCGTGTAATCCTGGCTCTGGTCTCCAAGTATGCACATGGATCTAAGGCGAATGGGGGCATCACATCTTTCTTTGTCATTTCTAGAATAGCTTTCAAGTGTTGTGCAGAAAGGGTCTGTGCATGGCCACGCACCTGGCCCTGCCCAAGATCAGCTGGGACTCCCCAGGAGGGCTTTTCAGCACCTTCCCTGCATTGTGGGCTTTAATAGTACACTAGTACTACTGATTTGGCTAAAAAAGCCTTTTCTACAGGATTTGCAGGCTGAAAAAAAATCTATAAATTAGATACAAGCCACATTGCTTCACACAAATTCAGTCTTTGCTGGTTTATTCTCATCTGGGCATATGCAGAAAACAGGAGTTGGAGGTTTTACAACATTACAGCTTTTCTTCCAAATTAAGCCAAACTGCTTGACTCACTAGTTTGGAGCCTTGGAGGAGAAGGTGTGTTTTCATTCCCATCAAAACGTCAATTTTACTAATTAGCATACCAACTCACCAACAGAAGGAGTAAATCTAATCAGCTTTGCTTCAAATGAAAAACCTACGGGCAGATTTCACATGTAGGTGTTTCAGGCTTCTGAGGATTTACATGTTTATTGTAAATCAATCAGCACCTTGTTCTGGGTTCATGCGTGTGTCACAGCCTTTATTCCCACAGTAGCTTTTTTCTCTTGATCCTTAGTCAAAAAATAATTAAAGGTGTGGAACACTGAAAAAACATTCCTTATTCCTGGTTACACTTGGTTACTCATGCAGGCTGAACATGAAAATAGTCTCCTACACCTATCTTGCTTCTGATATAAAATAAACATTGCAACGCTAGGATTTGAATATCCTGACATTCAGTGCGTTTACATGCAGCCAGTAACCCTTTTAAAACCTGAATATTCACAATAACCCGGTTCCGCAGGTCCGTGTAAACACCGCCAGAAACCCGGATATGCTCATAACTGGGTTTTTAAAAACCCGGTTACTACACCTGGGGTAACCCTTTTCTAACCCGAATGTTTGGTCGTGTAAACGCATATCGGGATATCACCATCAAAGCGTGTGTTCTGCGCATGCTCTGTTCGCAAAGAATCTTGGTCTTTTGAGTAGCGAGACGTCTTGTATGCGCCAGAACACCGGAAGTAAACAACACGTTGGGGGCAACATGGCGAGTTGTGGCACAGCACCACACTTTTGGAGTGACGAAGAAACTAAAGCACAAACAACTGCGGTCGCTATCTCTTCCAAACTGGGAAAAATTTTGTTGTTTTCACGGATACCGGAACGAGAAGAACCGGAAATGACGCATATAGCGACTGGACGTAGTCCACACGTCCTGACGCTACCCCAACGTCGGCATTTACATCGGGTTATGCAAGTTAGGGGTAACTCTTTCTATTTGTGCTTGTAAACGGGTTATTCTGATCAACTCAGAGACCCGAATGCCGACCTTAACCCGATCATAACCCGGATATTGGCTGCGTGTAAACGTAGTCATTGTCACTTAACATTCATGGACTCATCCATCTTGACTCACGACAGGGAAGACTGTTGTTTGTTCCAGGAACGTTCTAGCAGAGAACGTCTCAGCTAGTAGAAGCTAACTGTTAGCATTAGCAGCTTCACCACACAGCAGACCTCCTCCAGGCTTGTGTTATTTGTGGCGATACAACATCCACGTTGCAAGTCAGTGGAGTCTGGTTGCTGTTGTCTGATCCAAGGCGAGATTTCCAAATATAAGGAAATAAAACTCCAAAACCTGCCGTCTGAAGCTCTGCTGTGATGCGGCTCACTTCTAGTTCCTAAAAATGGTGCACCGGTGTCACCCCACCCACCCACTTACGAGGCATTCAATCCCACTAGAGACCACTACAAATTAAACAAGTGTTCCACATCTTTAAATAACAGACTTCAGAAAGCAGAGATGAATTAGCTGCCTTCTTTTTTATGCTTCCTTCTAAACCGGGTGATATATTCTGGCCGTGGGAATTTTTGGGTGCTAAAAAAAGGAAAGTTAACAAGCTGTCCTGGCTTTCCACATCATTTTGGACAGCTGCGATCTGTGCAGCAACAGCTGTTTTCCCAGTGGCAGACAGCTAGGAAGCCAAATCCCTGTGATTTCCACCTTGTTTCCTTTGCCTGCGACGGGTTTGGAGAAACTTGTTCTTTCTTGCAGAGGTAATTGCTGTTTAATATTGGCTCTACATCCAGGAAAAATGTTTTGGTGGGGCCAGGCTGTAAGACATGAAAATGCTTGTACAGCAGGACTGTGGTGCATTTATAGTTTAGTGACACTTGCCTGTAAATTTGACTCTGGTTCAGAAAGTATGATTATAAGCACTTTTAGTGATGGGCGTGAATGTAAGGGAAACGTACAAACCCTGTCATTATGTTCCACCTGGTTTCCCATTTTTAAGCATATTACCAGATGTCCACAACACTTAAGCAAAGACATACTGGCTTGAATCCAGTCTTCTGCAGCTCAGTTGGTATCCTTGGCTGAAATTTCTGATGTTTGGTGCTACGTTAATGCTAAGGTTGGTTTTTCAGATCGAATATGGAGCTTATAATTGTTCTGTAGGAGACATGTCACTGCACAGTTGGCAGTAGAGCATTTTCCAGACTTCTATTGAGTCTCACCATTAAAGACGCCATTTAGCGCTGTGGGAATTCTGTGCAAAGTTCAAGTGAAATCAAGCCGTCAGAGAGGCTGACATTCTCCTCAGGGATGAGTGTCTCTCCTCGTCTCATCTTTATTTTTTATGTTCCCATATATTTAACTTTAAGGCTTTTTGGCTTTATTCCTGACTATATAAAAGGAGCTGTTCTTACTGCACTTTAAAGTAAATAGTTCTTTTATTTATTTTTATACCCATTAAAATATCAGCGTGTCTGCACTTTTGACGTCTATCTGCACATAGATCTTCTAACCTTCCCTCGGTGTAATCTTAGAGGTGCTTTGTGGGGTCGGAGCTGCTGCAGAGCTGATGGAGGTTGTGGATGGTTTACCTTTCAGTTAATGGGCCTTATAGGACTTTGAAGCTTTTTGTTTGTCTGGCGCACACCTTATCTGATTACTTGACTAGTACAACAGGTACCCTAGTTCCTGGCTGCCAGCCTCGGTCTCGTAGATCTGATTTCTCCTCCAGGTGGAGACCCGATGCAGGCGGCCTAAACAATCTTTGTTTGGTTTCTCTCTAGGGGCAGTCCTGGCAGCTGAAAGCCTCTTGATACAACATTTATTGTCCTGACTACACTCTCAAGATGGAAGTGTTCTGCCCTTCACTCAGGGATTGCCGTTTTAAATGTGTAGTCGACTGCTTTGAGAACTACAAATTTGCTTAAAACATATACTTTACTTCATTTCAGAACACTATTTGTGTTTACCATTAGACTGTCACTACCACATTTACATATGCAAATATATCCCTACAAATAAAAGTACTTGGAGGAATAATTGCAAGATAAATGGTAGTAAACAAACTTTCCTGATCAGTAATGGTGACTTGCAGCATGTTTAGAGTATGGTTTCACTACATGGCATAATTAGTATAGATCTAATTCCACAGTGGCCATTTTCCTCCCAGCTTGTCACGAGAAACTTATCATTTTACTGGTGCTGAGGTCCATTGTCATGGAAACAAACACTCCACCCATTACCATTAGCTGTAATTCTTCAGCATTTGGTCACAGGTGTTTTAAAACCCACAGGGTCCTTACAGATAAATTGTTGTGTCATTAGTGACCACAACAAATCGTGATCATTAATGGGACTCATCATTATTTATAAGAATATGGTCGTTTTATTTTAAAAAATTGTGCCTTGATTGGTTTCCATTTTTGGCCGCTTGACTTCCGTATTTTCTAGTTGCTATTGATGCCTCCTGAAGTAAACAAACACAGAAATCCATGATAAATCAGCCGTTTCACAAACAGCATGGCGTGGTGGACAGCACTGAAAGGAGTGGAAGAGTTAAATATCACAGCGGGTGAGTTTGGCTGCAGTGGAATCTCAGCTCATAGAAGCACTAATTGTAGTCAGACAGGCCCGGGCTGGCACAGTTCGAGCTTTCCTTCCCCCAGACCTCCTGTCAGGCCTCCTGTCTGCCTCTCAGACCCATCACTATGAAAGTCAGCACAATTAGCAGGCCCTTTCCGAGCGGAACAAGGAAATTCTGTTGTGCCCTGAGGTTGGCTTTTGTCTATAAAAGTTTGCTGCATCCTAAAATAATAAATACTTTCAAAACATTACTGAAAAATGTTGAAAAGGTCTACAATTTGATGGTTTACAATTATAGTGCTGACTACCTGCTGCTAATTTAATAGAAGTGGCCCTCTTTAACAGCAGGCATACTCTTTCAGTTTACCTGTAATTACTGTACAACGTTGTCGTGTCCTTGTCTGTTTAACTTTCCCCTCTCTTATTATTCCCAGATCCCATTTTCTACTTTGGAAGCACGGAATACCGTGTGGATGAGAGTGATGGCTTTGTGGAAGTGCAGGTGTGGAGAACAGGGACAGATCTTTCCAAAGGAGGATCTGTCACGGTGCGCTCCAGGAAGACAGATCCCATCTCTGCTGAGGGTGTGTGTCTGTTAAAAGTCCTTCTCTGACAGCTTCAGCTAGTTCATGCTTAGATAAATGTAAACCAAACACAACAATGGGCTCAAATCATCATCCTGTCAAACTTTGTATTCCGAGCTCATCGGTGGGAGAAGATTTCCATTCCGGATATGTTGAGTGGATGGTCAGGGGAATGTAAACATTTTTTTAGGCAGGGGGAAGAGAGGCCAGGGCTTTTTAGCTTAGACCTTGTCTTAAAGACACCAAATCTACACATTGTTGGGAAGATAATGCGAGACTGACTGACAACTGAGTTTCAAGATTGCATACTGATAGTTCTCCACACCGGTAAGCGCTTTAGAGTAATAAATCAATGCTTTTTCCTCGGGTCTTCCCAACAGCTTCTATTATCTCTAACCCCCAGGCAGGCAGCTCCTTTTCCACAGATTTGTAACAACTTCCCTCTCTGCAACTGTAAAAGCAACAGGCTTCTAATCAGCCAAGCCTATACCTATATACGGGTTATAAATGTATGAAAAGGGCCGGCAGGCAAAGGTTGAGGTCTCATTATAAAGATTCTTCAAAGAATGGCAAACAAGAATTCTGTTTGCACTCCAAGAGCTGTCCAGCTCCTGGCTATTTAACTGAACTGATTCATAGCTGTCAGCGATGTGATAGAATACCTTATCATCACATTTTTCCTTTTTCTCACTAAATGTCACTTAAAATTAGTTGTAAAATAATATGAAAAAAAAACAGGTTTTTCAACTAAAACCCAGAATAGTGTTAACACTCGTTAACATTATGACAAATATGTCTCACTTAACCTATACTGTGTTGCTGGGCAGCTGGTGTAGATTATGTGGGGATCAGCCGGAATCTGGACTTTGCACCAGGAGTGACCATGCAGACGTTCCGTGTGACTGTTCTGGATGATCTTGGACAGCCTGTGCTGGAAGGTCCAGAGAAGTTTGAACTGGTGCTGAGGATGCCCATGAATGGGATCCTTGGGGAGTCAAGCAAGACCGTTATCGTCATTAATGACTCCATTTCAGACTGTGAGTGAAAATCGTGATCAATTAAAAGATTTATTTGAACACCGCATGATAGTTTGCTTCCTTTCTATTTTCTGGTTTCAATCGTTTTGTTTTAGTACCAAAGGTGCAGTTTCGTCACGCTGTGTATGTAGGCGATGAGAACTCAGGACAGGTCTCAACCGCTGTGTATCGCAGTGGTGACACCAGTTACAAGTCCACAGTTCGCTGTTACAGCCGGCAGGGAACCGCCCAGGTCATGATGGACTTCAATGAAAGGCCGAACACAGACGCCTCCATCATCACTTTCTTCCCAGGTAATTGTAACACACGTCCCCTTTTTGTGGCTTTTGTTTCCACACTCAATCATTACTTCTAAAACACTGCTTTTCAGGAGAGATTGAAAAATCCTGTTTACTGGTACTGGTTGATGACTCAGAATATGAGGAGGAAGAAGAGCTTCGTCTTGTTTTGGGAAGCCCCAAGAGTGATTCCCCATTTGGAGCCTCTATTGGAAAGCAAAACGAAACCCTCATTAAGATAAACGATGAGGCAGACAGTAAGGATGATTAGCTTTCTTGTTACATGTTAATCCTGTCATCAGTCCTGCTTATAATAATTACGTGGAGCATTTTACTCACATATTACCTCTTTATAATTAGACCTACGATTGCTGTTGTGGCAACAGATTAAAGAGTCACATCCATGGTGGTTATGAAGTGTGTCATAACTGCAATTTTACAGTTTACCAGCATAATTCAAATTAAGGGGGTGTATTGGCAATAATCTGGTAATACAATATGTATATCACAGTATATGGGAGACAATGCGATATAGATCACATTAGGGTGGAGATCATGTAATATATTGCATGATTCGATATATTGCGATACTGAAAGCCAAACAATATTTGCTAATTTTTAAACTCCAGCCAGACGCTTCACAGGCCCATCCAGTGTTATCGCAAAATCTTGTTGTTCCATCGGAATGGAGGCAGTAAGAAATGCTGCCACCTAGCAGTCACAGTTTGAATTGCACCACCCAAAAAAACCAGTAAAGTTTTGCATTCAAATTCTCTATTTAAACAATCGATTGCTTTTACATATTGATTCAGTATCATCGCAAAATCTTGTTGTTCCATCGGAATGGAGGCAGTAAGAAATGCTGCCACCTAGCAGTCACAGTTTGAATTGCACCACCCAAAAAAAAACAGTAAAGTTTTGCATTCAAATTCTCTATTTAAACAATCGATTGCTTTTACATATTGATTCAGTATCATAACATAAACTATCACAATAGTTGAGTGTGTCAATTATTTTCTTACATCTTTAATCAAAATAATCAAAATCCATGTTCACAGGACCAGTTATTAGTTTTGGATTGACCAAATTCAGTATGAGTGAACCAAAGGAAAAGGGCCAAGTCTCGGTGGTGAAGATCCCAGTGTTACGTGTCGGAGACACCTCCAAGGTCTCTGTTGTTCGAGTCCACACCAAAGATGGATCTGCCACCTCCGGGGAGGACTACCATCCAATATCTGAGGGTAAATATTACAGCAAGTCCCTTTTATCAAGCCAGTGAATCGTGCTGAAATATATTTTTCAAGGATATTTTCTTTTTCCTGCAGAAATTGTGTTCAAACAGGGTGACACAGAGCACTACGTGGAGGTGGAGATTCTATATGATGGGGTCAGAGAAATGAGGGAGGCCTTCACTGTTCACCTTAAGCCTGATGAGAACATGGTGGCAGAAACAAAGGTGTTGTTTAAACCAATTAATTATCTCACTTTCACACAAGAAATACAAGATTTCCCTTAAATATGGGTCGCTCTGTTTGGCCAATCAACAGATGAGCAAAGCCATCATTCACATTGAAGAGGCTAACAGCATGGCGGATGTGACATTTCCCTCCATACCCAGAGTGGTTTCTTTACTTCATTATGATGACACCAGAAGGACCAGGCACGCTCTGCCAGTGACTGGATACCCTGTCATTTGTGTCACCGTATGTCCCCACTAATTCACACACACACACACACACACACACACACACACACACACACACACACACACACAAATCCAGTTGAAACTGTTAAATCTGTTATGGAAGTGGATCTCAGCACAAGTTGTGGCAATGAATCATCAGTAATATAAAGAGAAAACTGTCTGCTGAACTGATCACATTTTTACATAGTTTTCTCCCCCTTTCCAGGCTTGTGACCCCAAATATCCAGACTATGATAAAACAGGTTCTATCTGTGTGAGCGAGAATATCAACAATACGTTGACTCGCTATCGTTGGCTCGTTAGCGCCCCAACCGGCCCAGATGGTGTGACCAGCCCAATGAGAGAAGTTGACTTTGACACTTTCTTCACCTCCTCCAAACTCATAACGTTGGACTCAGTCTATTTCCAGGCCGGCTCCAGGGTCCAATGTGCTGCAAGGGCTGTGAACTCTAATGGGGATGAAGGTCTAGAACTGAGCAGCCCCATAGTGTCAATCAGCACAACTGAGGGTAAGTTTAGAGAATTTTCTATCCTTTTTAGCCTTCTTAACAGAATAATCATATTAAAAGTCTGTCTGGGTGGTATTGTATTTCCAATTGCAGTATAAGTTACGCCTTTGCTGACAGAAAATGGAATTATCCTCTGAGAAACTAAATATTTTGTTTTGGGGTTATGGCACGGCTGCAGGAATGTGTCAGCCTCGCGTTGCAGGAACTGTGGGGGCAGAGCCGTTCTCTGCCAAGCTTCGATACAGTGGAGCAGAGGACACAGACCACCCCAATCTCATCAAACTAACTGTCACCATGCCTCACATTGATGGTGAGAAGAGCATTTCCTCACCAAACTTCTAAACCAGTTATTGATTTCAAAATCATCACATTTTAACAGCTGTGAAAGCTGTGGTTCAGTATGTCTATAGTTGACCCTTTTTTCTAACCAGTTTGTGTCTTCCATCAGGGATGCTGCCTGTGGTGTCCACTCGATCCCTTTCTAACTTTGAGCTGACTCTGAGCCCTGATGCGAGCCGGGTCGGACAGCATCGCTGCTCCAATTTGTTGGATTACAGTGAGGTCGATACTCGCTATGGCTTTCTCACTGACGCCACCAAGAATACAGAAGTGTTTGGCGAGACGAAACCTTACGAATACAGCACTTCCCTAAGGGGGTCCAGTACACTGCGTTTCTATAGAAACCTGAACCTGGAGGCATGTTTGTGGAATTTCACTAGCTACTATGACATATCTGAGCTTCTCAGTGTCTGTGGAGGAACCATTGGGACTGATGGACAGGTTAGTACTCCTTGAGATGGCAATATTGTCCTTTGCTTCCCACACATAAATGGAAGTGACGCCACAAACAGCTGGCGGCTCTGACGAAAACGGAAGTTCTGGTCAAAACATGTCAGCCAAAAGTAAAGAAACATCTAATTATTTCACTGTGTTAAATAAGAAAAAAGAAGATAACTAAAATGAGCTGTTTGAAAAAAGTCCCCACTTGTGATGTCACAAACAGGGATAATACAATAGAAACACCTCACACATGTCAGAGAGAACTGCTGCTGGAGGAGAACAGCTCTACTTTGAGCCCCTCCCGCATTTCGGACTTTCTCAGCATAAAGCAGCCTTGTTGGGGATGGGTGGCCAGCTTGTTTTCTTAAAGTGACAGAGCCCCAAAAAACAGCTCATTCTGGAAGGTACTGAAAATGCCAAGAAAAAACTGCTGAAATCGCTTTATATGAGGGGGATTTTATGCAAAGGAAATGAATATGTTTGTTAAAAGACACAGAACTATTATAACTTAAGAAAAAAGTCATAAAATAGGAATAGGAAAATATAGGAAAATTCTTTGTCACTTTTTTACCATTGTATTAATTACTTATACTTTCTAATCATATTCAAATATATGTTTATAAAATAAATATGCACAGTTAAGTCTAAATATTCTAAGTTAAAATAAGTATTTGTATAACATGAAAATCAGGCAGCTGTAAAATGGAATTATTCCACTAGTATGAAAGCACGGTGAACAGATCAGATCCTCTCTCTCAGAAACAGATCATTCATCAATACTCCTCTATCTGGGTTCTCCTTGCCCAATGGTAAATGATCAATGGTTAAGCAAACTCATGCAATCTTACCACGACCTTTCTTCACCTGCTTTTCTTCTAGTTGGCTGAATACTGTTATTAGAATTGTCACTATTGTTTTTAGATATAACTTATGTTTAGAATCGATTAAGATTTTGATTTTTAGTGATGTCTAATAAAACACCGGCTTCCTTCGGTTATTAACGAGAAAAATCACTTGCCCTGTCAAGACAAGTCAATAGCCAGCAGCCTTATAAAACTTCCTAGTCGTAATTTTTGCTCCACGCACAACAGCATCTTTGCAGCAGCTGATGCTATGCAGTGCATGAGGGAGGAGAGCCTAAATCTCCCTCCAGCCTCCGGGCACACATGCCTCATAGGGTTTAACATTTGCATTCACCTTGGAAACTTGTCCTCAGCTCATGTTGAGTTAATTAAGGTAAAAAGTTAATAAAGAAGGTCTGGAAGATTTCTTGCTGCACATTGTAGTGAAAACTTGAACTGCAGTGGAGGTGGAGATTCTGTATGATGGGGTTATTTACATCCCATCTGAGCATTATTATAATTCAACATAGAATAATATATACTCTGATGCTTGTTGAAGACTATGTGATGATTTTCACGTTCTTTTATGAGAATCTTGTTTTACATAGCTTCAGGTTAATTTAATAACGCACCAGGGTGAAGTGTTCCCTCCAACCACAAATAAAAACGTGTTGGCAGTTATCAACTTGTCTTGACAAGTTATGTGTCTGCTGCCAGTTTTACAAACTCTGCTTTAGACGAGGGTATTTACTCAACATACGAATTCTGTGACTACACAGAAAACTCCATCTTTCTCAGCCTGCTCAAAAGTCAGAGTGAAGCTCCACAGGTCCCGGGTTCAGGATCTGTAGGGCAGGCTCAACAGGAAAAAGGGAGCAGCCTTTATTTGAGGGTGCCTTGTGACCGAAGTGCTTCTCTAAGTGAGTTGGCCAGCTGATTGGAGACAGCTCAGGGAAGACTTTAGGCTAGTGTCATGTCACAGTGCAGGTCTTCATGCCCAGCTTAACAAGACCACGGGAATCTATCAAAGCCCAGCAGGCTGTGTCAGAAGGCCATTCTGCAAATCGTTTGCCTGAGCTCTCAGTGCCCAGAGGCAAAGGCACGTCCACACATGAGCACAAAGCTAGTGCAGGCAGGTACGTCTCACAGGTCAGAGGAAAGTGCAGATACCAAAGAGAGCTCCCTCTGAGAGCTTCAACCATTTAGGACAAAATGAAATGCAGTAAATGCATTTTCTGAATTTGTTGTAGTAGAAATATCCATACTTTATACGTAGCGTCGTGAGTCCATAAACCCACTTAGGGACTTCTACATAAAGAACATTATTGGTACGAAGTGTGATAAATTCTGTGAAGTGTCGTTGATTCGCTTTGTCCAAACATTTTGAGACGAGGGCCAAAATCGGCAGCTGAATGGTCCTCACTGCCAAAAATGTTTTTTTTAAATGCAAACATTATTTTATGGTGATTTTATTTAATTTCTTCAAAATAGGTTCAAAGTTAGTAAAACTCAATAAAAATGCATTGTTCTACATCAACAGCCTGCTGCAGACACAAAATGATTTCATTCTAGAAATGCAAATGGGGGCCACGAGAAATCACTTGGAAGGCCACATTTTAGACATGACTGGCTTAGTTTGTTGACTTAGTGAAACAGTGTAAATAAAACTAACAAATCAAAAATGCTTGTCTATAATCAAGGCTTCCATTCTTTCTCCTCATTTTACATGCTTAGATTTCACTGATTTCTAAATATTGTTTGTTTTACTGCAGGTTCTGAATCTGGTTCAGTCCTACTTGACCCTGCGAGTCCCACTACATGTGTCCTACGTCTTCCATTCGCCTGTGGGAGCAGGAGGGTGGCAGCACTTGGACCTGCAGTCGGAGCTGAGGCTCACATTTGTGTACGACACTGCCATCCTGTGGAGGGAGGGGATCGGTAGTCCACCAGAAGCTGAACTACAAGGCAAGCTTGAGTTTGGATGCTCTTATTTTAAATAGTGTGTTATATTCACGCATACATTCACAGTGAATGATGTCTTTGCAGGGGCCCTTTACCCGACCAGCATGCGTATAAATGTCCAGGGACAGTTGGTCGTGAACTTCCGCACCGAGGCTCGATTCAGGGGCTTGTTTGTGTCTGATCATCCAGGTACAGCGTGTCCTAGAAGACATAGACTTTTAATCACTTATATGGTATCAGTCTGCTTTAAATGTGAAACTGAAACAAACACTTTTATCATAAAAAATCCTATTACGTGTAAAAATGTGCTCAGATATTTCACTTTTCTGCTGATTTATGTTTTGTTTTATCAGCTTCATCCCTCTCCTCCATGGTCATGTGTCCTGACCACCCTGGTTTAACCTTTAACCTCAGCCTCGTTCGGAGTGAGCCGACCTACAACCAGCCCATCCAGCAGTGGACATTCATCTCTGACTTTGCTGTGAGAAGAGTTTTTTTTTAATCGTTTTAGCCACATCCTGTTCCTCCTCAACATAACGTCCTCTCTCAGGTGCGGGATTACTCTGGCATGTACACAGTAAAGCTGATCCCTTGTACTTCTCCTCCAAGCTTGGAGTACACCATCCCTCCCGTCTGCAATCCCAGAGAAGCACTCTCCTTTGACTTGGATATCCGGTTTCAGCAGGTAATTTCATTTGATCTAATAATTTGGAGCAGCAGGAGGTTCTGTTGTACATGGTTCTTTCACTCTTATTTGTTTTTGGTGATGACTGTGCTTCAGTGACATTCTGGAAAATTCTGGGAAAGCATATCTACCCGTAGCCTGATATTTAAAGTGTTTGTATCAATTTTATTTAAATCAACAGAGAACTTCTGTTCATGTAGGAGAAGGCTGGGAAGGTAGATGAGATAAGCTGCATCTGAAGTAAACGCGTGTGAAAGAAATGCAGCGAGCACAAAGCTAACAAGCAGAAGGTCACCACCAACCAGAATGTGACAGGCTATAACGAGCTCCGTACAGACTCTGTACAAGCTTTTCTACAACAATTCAGCTTTTCGTCTAATTAGTTTTGTTGTATTTATGGCTTGTGAAGCTCTTGGGGCTGAGGACTAAATTAAATCAACCAAGCATCAAAATCCACTTGGGGTCATGGTAGCAAGATTGAACAGAATAAAAAAGTGCATTAATTGGGATTACTGATTTTTAGTTTGACAAGTGACTTAAAGGAATATTTCACCCCAATGAGAAATTTGTTTGTTGCCATGTTTCCCCGATTTAGATATGTGGGAAAAAGCATTTTGTTACCAGCCCAGTCATTCTCCTAATCTGGCAGTTTTCGGTTAGCTTTAGCTTAGCATAAACAAAATAAGTAAATGGTAACAACTAGCATTCCGTGTGAAAAATTCATTAAAATTACTCAATAATGATTCTGATATTTCTTGGTGATCGACTCCAAATTCGTGTTGTTGGGGGAATTCCCACCGCAGCAAGCCTTTGACTGGATGGAATTCTGTGTGCTGTATGTCTTCGGTTTGCTTTCTTAATCCTTTGCTAAACAAGAAAATAAAAATTTCTTGCATTAGAAATGTGACATACTGAAACAACGGTGGTAAAAAAGTCAGTGCAGCTCACGCATTTGTGTTTGTGGAAGTATTGTAGGTGGCGCAGCGCCACGCCTAAAAGTCTAGTGCCATGGCTATGAAATCAAATTTTGTTGCCAATATGGTTATTTATATCACGAAGAAAAATTGGGATCGATATTGAATAATTTTCAGGAAATTTTCGCACAAATTGCTCGCTGTTTCCATTCACTTACATTATTTATGCTAAGCTAAAGCTAACGGAATACTGCCAGATTAGGAGAATGACTGAGCTGGTTACAAAATGCTTTTCTGCACTTATCTAACTCTGAGGAATATGGCAACAGACTACATTTTACTTAGGGGTGGAATATCCCTTTAAAGCTCCATCAAGTGAGCAACTCAAAAGTAAACGAAGATAGATTTGTTCAAATTTCTGATAATTCATTAAATTAATAGATAGAGGTTCATTTAGAAGCTAATCATGATTTATTTTGATATTTTATTTATTTAGATTTTTTTTTTTGCGCTGTTTTAGGTTAGTGACCCGGTGGCTGCTGAGTTCAGTTTAAACACCCAGATGCTCTTACTCTCCAAACGGACGCTCTGGCTCTCAGATGGGTCCATGGGCTTTGGACAGGAGACTGACACCGCTTTCTCACCAGGTAAAGTCCAACAGAACCACATGATTCCAAAACACAGAGATCAAACAGATGCTTGGCTCATTTCATATTTTCTCCCCCGTACGAATGATCAAAAAGAAATATCAGTGTGTAGTTTATTTTTATCGACTCAGCGAACCTGTTCTCAATTATTTTCCAACTCGGTGAGATCAAATGAAAGATAAGTGAAGCTTCCGTGAAATGCCTTTTTCACATCATCCTTGTATGCCGGCAAATTGAAGGGAGAGCAAGAAATCTTTTTCTTTCACTGAAGTCCTGAAAATCTTTGAAAAGGTTTTGTCCAAGTGAATATAAAACTTCTTTTAGCGCCGGAGAGCAAAATTAAAATTTTAATGATGCAATTATCCACAGTCGGAATAAAACTATTGCATTTGACAAACCGTTCAATAAAACTTCCACAGATTTTGTTTGATGTGGTTTAACGTGGTTTAAACTGAGATTTCTCTTTTGTCAGGGGACACGGTTTATGGCAGAGTGATGGTGGATCCCGTCCAGAACTTGGGTGACTCCTTTATCTGTAACATAGAGAAAGTGTTCCTGTGCACAGGAGCAGACGGATACGTCCCAAAGTACAACCCCAGCAACTTTGAGTTTGGCTGTCTGGCCGACGCTCCGTCTCTTCTCTACAGATTTAAGATCATTGTAAGTGATAAAAAGAGTCGTTTTTACTTTTTCACATCAAGTGCTATGTATCTGCTCAGAAAACATCATTCTTTTTTATGTGACCCCAGGATAAAGCTCAGCCAGAGACACAGGCCCACTCATTTGGGGATGTAGCCTTTAATGCTTTTCTGGCGGTGGATGACCCTGGAGCTTTACCTCTGGTGAGACAACCTGGAGCAGATGGTTTCAGAATGGATTCTTCAGCCCTGTTCCAGGTCAGTAAAACGGTCGTGCTAAATTCCATTTTTTTACTGAAATTTAAGCAGTCCTAGGGTCACCTGACAGCTTAAAGCTTTGGTTCGTAATGTGATGTCATCAAGGAGGAGTTTAAATTTGAATGGCTACAGATACTGCTCCTCCTCCCCCTCACCTTCTGGAAGGAGCTAAAAGCCACTCCTCAGTGGAGTCAACAGAGAAAGTTAAAACATTGGTAGTGTTTAGGGCTAATTTATACTTGTCCGTCAGCTCAAGTGTGGAGTTGCACAAACACATTTTCCCTTTGGACTTTGCCATCACGTGGGGATTGTTGCAAAGCAATTCCCCACCAGGACAACAGAGGGGTACCCTGCCGTCATTACTATCTCGTATTGAATGGAGGTTGAGTTAGCATTTAAGCTAGCACCATATTAGTGTACGGCAGGGGTGTCAAATATGCGGCCCGCGGGCCGCATCCGGCCCGCAAGTGGGTTATGTCCGGCCCGCGAGATGGTTGTGTAAACTTTATTTTCATACTTTACAATGTAGAGTGAAAATAAACTTATCTTTGTGAGCAAGTTTTCTCTGTAATGAGTAAAAATAAAACAAAGCTGCGCTTAAGGCTCACACAAGAACTTGAATCACATCCTGAAGTTGGCTGCCACTCAGGATGTGACTTCTGATATTGATGTGCTGGTGAAAGCTAAAAGATGTAAAGTAAAATGAGTCAAATATATTTAAAGTGCTGCATGAAAGTGATCCAGCCATGTGATCTGTAAGCTCTTTGAATCACTAAGGAATGTTTTATTTATTGTTTGATTTTTTAGTTTTTTCAAATTTTCAAGTACACTTCAGGTGTTGTACTTGTACTGTTTTGGATACACTGTCCTCAGGCTCCAGCTTTGTTTTGTATTGATTGTATTAAAACAAAGAAAACAATTTGAAGTTGTTTTTAATTTACCGGTCCGGCCCACTTGGGACTAGATTTCCCTCAATGTGGTCCCTGAGCTAAAATGATTTTGACACCCCTGGTGTACGGTGAGCGCAGCATTCAGTGATTATCTGAGCTGTTGTTTCTTTTGTTCAGATCAAGTTTAGGATACAATTCTCTAAACAGCACTAAAGAACATAGTATTTACCTGCCCAAAAGAAAATTTGAAACTCTTCATTAGTTTTGAGCCCTTGTAGATCACAAAGCTCCTCCATCCTTTTAAAGCATCTCCAATCTAAATTCTAATGGACTGTCACAAACATCTCATAGTGAGTTTCACAGAAGGACTTTTAGACTAAATTTTCTTTGAGAAGGAGAAGGCAGTAGAGAAATCTGTGGGTGCCTTGCTTATGAGGACACTGTCCTTCCTTGGTCAAAGAAAATGGGTAAATGGCTTCCGCAGTGGTCACGCAACATCATGTGACACGGGAGATAACGTTATATTTTATACGTATTAGTTTCACTACAAATATATCCTTTTACTTTTAAAATTGTGTGTATATTTGTTAAATTAAATATGTAAGCGATACCTGCTAGCTACCGAAGCTGCAACTACTAAGCAACTAACCAACCATAGATAACTTCTTTGGATCTAAAAAACACATTTTAAATTAGTTGACTTACTTTTAAACTTGAAATTTTCCCCCGAAGTAGCTGCCGGCTTGTGATCCTCCATCCTTTTGAAAATACTGCGGTGTATTCTGTGTAATTTTTGACCAATGCTAGGCTACAAGACACCTCCCATGTATCCTTGCTCAGCTAGCTAAACGGCTAACAAACAGAGAACAGACGCCTCGGTGGAACATGAACATTGGAACAAGCCTTGGCGGCTCTTGATGACGTATCTCCTAGGCAACGGGGGCAGGGTCAGGACATCCAGGCAGGTTCCTTGGTATTGAGAAACACCCTATAATTTCTGTAGTAGTTCTTGTTGCTTCATCGCAAACCTCCAATTTTTTTCTTTTTTGCTGGTGTGCCAAGCAGATTGGGGTGCATTATCGTAGATTAACAGCTCCCTCTTGTGGATATGCAGCTCTTTTGGTCAAGCTCTAGGCCCACCTGAATGATTTGTTTTGCTGTGGAGGCCAGAAGAAGGATCTAGGGGAAATATAAATTCTCAAAGATTACCTAATTTAAATCATAGAATGGGTAGATTGTAAAATTTAAACAATTTTCAAGTTGCTTAGAAATGTTTAAAGCTGTAAATCTGACAATTTCTTATAAAGTCAAATTTCCGTTAGTCATCATCACACACCGCATTTGACCCATCCTTATGGGGAGTGGTGAGCTGCAGCAGTGGCTGCTCTCAAGAACTATTTGGTTGTTTAATCCACCAATACAGCCCCTTAAAGATGAGTGTCAAGCAGGGAGACATTGGGTCCTATTTATAAAGTCATCGGTGTGACCTGATCGGATTTGACCCGATCTCGCATTCCCAGGGCAGGTACTCTGCATACTAAAACTGGTATGAGCAATTCTCTATGTAGAGAGCAAGAATAAATATTGAAATATTTGCTCAACGTGGTTAGAGGTAGGGGCCGACCAATATGAAGAAGAAGAAGAAGAAAATATCATTTCTATAGCGCCTCTCAAGATATAAATCACGAGGCGCTTCACAAAAATAAAAAAATGTAAAACTTTAAAAAAGCATTTAGAAAATGTTTAAAAATATAGTTCCAGAGTCTGGGGGCCACAGCAGCTAATGATCTGTCACCTTTGGTCTTAAGCCTGGTGTGCTGCACAACCAGTAGGCTTTGATCACTGGACCTCAGGGACCTGCTGGGGGTGTAGGGACTAAGAAGATCACCAATGTAAGATGGTGCTTGTCCATGTAAGGCCCTATAGACCAGAACCAGGATCTTGAAATGAACCCTGAAGTTGACTGGCAGCCAGTGAAGCTGGAGGAGAAGGGGGGTGATGTGGGTGTGTTTGGAGGACTTGGTCAGAAGCCGAGCACAGGCGTTCTGAACCACCTGTAGACGGTTCAGGGAGGTTCTGCTCAGACACGTGAAGAGAGAGTTACAGTAGTCTAAGCGTGAGGAGATGAAGGTGTGGAGAACTGTCTCAAGTTCAGAGCGGGACAGAATGGGACTCAGCTTAGCAATGTTCCTGAGATGGAAGAAGGAAGAGCGAACAAGAGAACTGACACGAGAATCCAGGGTGAGAGCTGGGTCAAAGGTCACGCCAAGATTCCTGACAGAAGGTTTGGTGTGAGAAGCAAGCTGACCAAGAGAGTCTCTGACTTTGGGAACCAGCTTGTCTGGGGCACAGATGAGGATCTCAGTCTTATCTTCATTCAGCTCAGATTTTTAAATTAATTTTGTTGTAGAGGTTAGGGTTAGGCCGATATCTAATGATGATTACATTAAACACAAAATAACATTAAAAAACGGTGTTAAGGTCCTTCGGGTCCTTTCTTCAGTCTAGTAGTGGCGGCAGGTGGCCACATGGGTTCCTGATTTTTGGGCTTTTTGGCTTTTCGGCTTTTAAATATAATTTCGGCCTATTGCTGATATAGAAAAAATTTTATATATCCGCCCGATATATATGCCGACCGATATATCAGTCGGCTTCTAATTACAGGATTTTCTTATACTGGTAATTTTACAAACTGACAGGAAAAATATGTACTCTGACCATACAGTAAGTGTGGCTCCATTGAAAGTTTCTTGCGAGTGAGTAATCCAGTCTCTATGTGAGCTGGCTTCTAATGGCCTCGGATCACAGAGTCAGGTATGTGTCACAGTCTCGACCTCTCATCATGACCAGGGGTCTCATTTATCAAACATTGCGTAGAATCCTTACTAAAACCGTACTTAAGCTCAGCAAAAAAAAATTTATTTACGCCATGTTTGTGATCTATCAAACATGGAGCACGCACAGTTGCACGCAATCTCCGCTTCATAAATCAGAGACTAACGAGAAAGATTCTCAGCTGCGTTTTTGTCACATCCCGCCCTCACCACACCCACTAACTGCCATAAATGGTCAATGCAAAGTGCATTAGCCGGCTTGTTGCAGCATTTCGATCACGACAGCAGATCAAGTAAGCGCTATTTCACAAACATAAATTGAGTTACTTGTGGGTGAGGTGGAGAAATGAAAGGAAGTGCTTTTGCAAAACAAATAAGAGAAAATCCACGGAGTGGCACAGCGTTGCTGAAGCCGTCAATGTTGTGAATTCTTCAGAGAGATCTGTGGTGGATATAAAAAAAAAAAGGTCCAATCGGGATTTGATCGCCAGACTCCCAGGTGAAAGTCACGCGCGCTAACCAGTCACCCAGACGGAGATCTCCCCTGTAGCCAGGGCGCATGATCAATCAGGTCACAGTGACAGGACACACACTGTCAGAGACGCATGACATTCTGTCTCAATCAGTCCCCCTGCTGATATTCTGCATTCCATATTCTGCACTTCAGGCTGTATGTGTCTGTGCACGCTTGCGCACGTGTGTGTGTGTGTGTGTGTGTGTGTGTGTGTGTGTGTGTGTGTGTGTGTGTGTGTGTGCGCGCGCGCGGGGGGGGGGGGGGGGGGGTCTTGTTCTGTGTGAAAACGAAGCAGTACAAGTGATAATGCTGCAGGATTTCATAATTTTATCCTTCTCAGCAGCAGCACTGCAGGTGCTCTCCGTCTCCAACATGTGCGTAAGCCAGGTCCTTAGTCAACTTAAAGTTGTGCACATTTTTCCGCTAAGTTTTCTTTCAGAAATCCCAAAGTTTGCGCGGAAAGTTGCTTACGCAGTTTTCCGACCCCGTTTTGTGAGTAAGCAAGCTTGATAAAGGAGGCCCCAGATAACTTCTTCTAGTCACTGGGTCTGTGTGTCATTGAATCTACAAGGAAGTAAGTATTCTCCACTGCTTTTAAAATCGTTCTGCTTTTATATTCAATTATACAATGATTGAACATGCCTTAGGTTGTGTTGGGGCATTTATATTTAATCAGACAAACACCAAATGCATGGGTTCTGCATCCTGGGGCAGCAGTAGCTCAGGTGGTAGAGCGGAAGGTCATCGGAGGGTCATGGGTTCGATTCCAGCTCCCGCCAGGGGTATCCTGCTGTTGTGTCCTTGGGCAAGACACTTCACCCAACTTGCCTGTGTTAGTGGTGGTCAGAGGGGCCGACGGCGCCAAATGGCAGCCTCGCCTCTGTCAGACCTCCCCAGGGTGGCTGTGGCTACAAGTACGGTAGCTTACCATCACTAGCAGTGTGTGAATGTGAGAGTGTGTGAAAGCGTCTTTGGGTGTCTAGAAAAGCGCTATATAAGTTCAATGCATTATTATTATTATCCTCTGATATGACAGGATGTGAATTCTAAATGATGCTCTGGTGCAAGAGGATTATTTCAGGTCATACTGAATCAATGAGTAATAGACAATATAGGAGACACTACTAATAAATCTGAGAGGGTATTGTAAGAACTTAAGTTATAATGGAGTATTTTCACTTTATTGTATGACTGAATTTACAGTATTGAAGGATTTGCAATTCAAACATTTTGCTCTTGCTTTTTTAAAATTTTATGAATTTGCTCTTTTTGTGCTTGACAAACTGATGCAACGTAGAAAAGGGACAATTTTCTTTCATTTATCTAAAATCTAGACTAGATTTTCCCTGCTAAGGTTAGTTCAGGACACGTTTAAAGGTGAGGCTCACTAAAAAAAACATTTCTTAAATCTTATTTCTGATTGTAATCATTCATTCAGAGCTTTTCATGCAGGCTGAACGTGAAAATAGTCTCCTACAGCTATTAGCTTCTGATAGAAAATAGATGGTGAAGCTCTAGAATTTGAAAAGCCTGACAGATCTACATCACATTGTCATTTAACATTCATGGACTCACTTATCTTGACTCACAACTGGAAGGCTGTTGTTGGTTTAGTGTCCAGCAAACAGCAGAGAACATCTCAGCTAGCAGAAGCTAACCGTTAATATGATAGAATACGTTCAGGTCTGTTATTTGTGGAGATAACACATCAGTGTTGCAAGAAAGAAGAGCGAACAGAGGCAGCAGAAGAGTCAAGTTGCTCTTAGCCAGTCAGCGGCATTAGACACATTTGCATATCATGAATAGTAACAAGTAGGGCTCTCTATCCTGCTGTTTTCCACCCAAACTCTAAGACAAAACAGGAGCGCCAGAGTCATTTTTTTCCACTGGAAACAATTCACAAGGTATTAATTCATACTAGAAACAGCAGATTTATTGAAAAAACAAGTGAAAAACACCTTTATGAAAGCTTCCTATTTCTGCTCTATTTCTGTTCTGTAAAACTGGTAAAATGTTATTTTTATCTGAAAGCAAGGGCAGAGATGTTTCATATTTTATGGTGCTTAGTAAAAAAAATAGATGACAAAAACATTTAGTTGTCTGACTTGGTCGATAAAAGCAGTTCTCATGTGTATAAAAAGATTCAGTGCAAGTGGAACTCTTCTAAAATGCAAGAAAACAAACCCAGTTGTTCGTTTTGAAGCTCTAGTGTGCCATCTAGTGGTCTCATAAAGGCTGTGCACTATACCTTTAAAGCTAAAGCTCAGGTACAATAAAAATACACATTACATGTATGTAAACCTGTTCTTATTAACCCTCTACAAACAGACAGACAGAATATTTTATATGCTTCTTAAACAGCATTTTTTCTTTGATCCAGGTGGCTGCAGGGAGAGAGTGGTACATTCACTCCATCTACACCGTCCGTTCCCGGACCAATGCCAATCGAGGCATCGGGAAGAGAAGCCTGGAATATCATGTAATGAGCCAGTACTCCAATCTTCTTCCAAAGAGCCAGCATCGCAGCAAAAGGTCAGCCAGTGATGTGCCAGACATAGTAGACGAGATTGGCGAGAGCAATAACCGGGGCACCAACATCTTGCACATTGCGTTGGACCGCAGCAGCCAGCGGAAGATGAGCCCAGATGGGGAAATCTTCACCAAAAGCAGCAATCCTCGTGAGCTCAACAAGAGAGAAGGTGATGATGGACTGGTGTTAATCATCGGTGTCTTTGTTGGACTGCTCTTCACCGTGCTCATCGTTATTGTGGTTGTGCTACTAGTACGGGCAAAGCGTGAGAAGAAAGAAGTGCCCAGGAACTCCAGCAGTGCAGAGCCTATGATGATGACTCAAGGCCTCAGCAGCACTGACAGCTCCGAGGTCTAACGGACCAACGGTCAACAGATTTAATCAACACTTTTATTTTGCAAGTGCCTCACGTTTAGCTGAAATAAATAAAGATTGTGTGTGAAGCAGCACAAACTACAAAAGCCTTGACATTATTCAGAAAACTACTTGAAGTATTGCATCACTTCCAAAGCCAGGGAGAAATCTGGACACTAAGCAGGAGACGGATGGTGTTAGCAGCTGCTTTCTGGTACTTGTCAATATGTCAGAACACTCTTATTGTTACTGATGGGCTTTTGTTGCCTACTTATCCAAAAAATAAAGGTTGTGTCGTGTTTCCAAAGGTGCTACGGGAGATCTCCCTTAACTTGAATGGCACTGGCTGTTTTGCTAAGTAGGTCAAGAGAAGCAGATTTTATTTTATTAATTTTTTTTTGCTTGCTGTTATTAAACAGACTTTGTATATTTAAAGCTGCAATGGCAAATCTACAGAACAATCTGGTTTTTAAATACAAACACGGTCACGAGCTCTCGCCACTCCTGTCTCACACCCCCCTGGGTCTGCTTGATACCAGAACACACATTGCCACAGTAGAGCACAAAACTTCACAATAGAGCACAAAACAGTGGTGTTCTGTTGCAAAATGTGTGAGTGTGTAATTAGTGGATGACACAAGTAAATGCAGAAGTGTGGTGTTTCGGTGAGACCGGCAACTAGATGGTTCAATTGGTGGTTTTGAACCGAGCCCTGTTATTGGCTCAGGTTTTAAGACGCATGAGAGAAAATCCCTTCATTCATTTATTTTTTTCATTTGATTTAATTTCTACAAAATATTTATAGTTATCCTGTAGATTGGATGTTGAAAATGTTTGAGAGATAATGTGTAGTTTCTACCATTAATCTCTGGAAACATGCATCAAAGTGTTGCTGAAAATGAATTAAGTGATGCCCAGTTATTGAACGTTATTTATGGTTTCGTAACCATAAAAATTGGGTCTAAAATACATGGGAGCAGGCCTAAGGGTTTTCTTCAATGTGTTGAGGTACTTGGCCTCGCAAGGCGATGTCTTGCGAGGCCAGGCACCTTGCTTACAAGGACACTGTCCTTCCTTGATGAAAGAAATTGGTTAAATGGAACAGACTTGCATCACAACCGCGGCTTCCACGGCAGTCACGTAACATCACGTGATACGGGAGATAACATTATATTTTATACTTATATGTTTCAATATAAATGTATAACAAGCCTTTTACTTTTTAAATTTGTATATATTTGTTTAATTAAATATGTAAGTGAGTTACTACCTGCTAGCCACTAAAGCTGCAACTACTAGCATCTAACCAACCATATATAACTGCTTTGGATATTTAAAAAAAAGCATTTCAGATATCAGCCCGATAGCTACAATTAGTTGACTTACATTTAAATTTTCCCCCAAAGTAGCTGATGGCTTCGGAACCGCCATCCTTTAGAAAATACTGCGGTGTATTCTGGGAAATTTTTGACCAAGGCTAGACTACACTTCTCCCGTGTATCCTTGCTCAGCTAGCTAAACGCTAACAAATGGAAAAGACGCCTCGGTAGATCATGAACATTGGAACACGCCTTGGCAGTTCCTGATGACATATCTCCTAGGCAACCAGAGCAGGACCAAGACATCAAGGCGAGGTTCCTTGGCATTGAGAAACACCCTTAGTCTGTGGGTGACACCACATTAGACGACATGTTTCCTTCTATGGGAGCCCGTGAGGACAAAACACATTTACTGATTTGTAACAAAGGGTTACAAAACACTCACCATTCATAAACATTGTTTTACACATTTACCTCTTCACTTGTTGCCAGTGATGAACGGCAACAACAACTGATGTGCGTCACTTTGCTGGAGGTTGCGCTCCCAGGGATTTTTGGCCCTAATGGCCATCCGTTGGTACGGTCTTACTCGAACACAAAAATACTGCTTGCTTGCAAAGATTTATTTATGTACTGCCCCCTATCACCAGGAAAACACATTCTCACTCTAAGCTAGCTTGTTGTGCATATTTGCCATTAAATCTAAGTGCACAAAGACAGTCCACAGAATACGTTGATTTAGTTTCGCTGCGTGCTCAAGAAGGTTCCAGGCTTTTGAGGGTTTTTATCTAAAACGTTTGTCTTGTGTGATCAGTAAAACATGTATTCAAATTAAATAACTCAGAACTCATTAGAATAAAACTGTTGTGTTCATGTTTTGCATGGGTTTAATGTTTTTCTTTAGAGTTGAATTTGTGTCTGAGCTGCTGTATTTCTACCAGGCTGCATTTTACTGTCTATCCCTGTATTTATCGGTAGCACACAGTTATTATGACTTTTGTCCTGATATCTAAATGTTGAACCACTGTATGATTTTATGCATATGGCACTAAAAAAAATAGAAGAAAATTTTTTAAAGAAAAATAGTAGGAAAGCAACTTTAAAGACAGCTGGTCTGCAGTATAGTGTAGTATAGCAACGGTTTAAGGTCAATCAAGTTTAAAAACAATTTTCACTCTTGATGAATGAACTTGTACACTATTTTTAATTATTCGCTAATGTAGTTTGGTAGAAATAACACCGACACTAAATCTGTCACAGCGAGGCTTCATGATGACCGAGTTTTAAATAATTAGAATAATATTTTAAGCATAAAGGGAATTTGATGTTTTAATCTCAGTCACTGCTGTTCTCATCGTTCTCTGGATGATTTATTAGTGCTAAATTTAAGTTATTTTTCAGTGCTTTGCTTTGTGGCGTAAATCGTGTATATTCCCGTGGTTGTTTTTATCCTTATTTGAGATTTTCTACATGATACGAATATCTATGGAAAGTTACTGTGTCATGTTTTCAGTGTAACACTGTAAATTACACAAAACTCGCCAAGATTTTGGTTTATTTGTGCGTTTTCCTAATTTCAAAGCACAATTTGAATACCTCTTTATTCCTCTTGTCTGTTAAATATGTTGAGCTTACATAGTTTGATTTAGAAATTGAAAACACTTCTATGCAACCTGTAACATTTTTATTAAATGATTTTTTGTTTGTTTTCACACAATCAGCTCACTAGTTCAGGTGTGAATGTGTGTTTATGTCTTGTTTTTTTTATACATTGCAGTGTTTTTTTATGAATTATTGCTTTGATTTCATTCTGAGTGTTTTAAGCACATTTATGTATGTATGTATATACATATATTTTACATATAAATGTACCATTTGGAGGATTGGGGGAATGGCTATTGTTTAAATGGTTATTGTTATTTGCTGTAAGGATTTGTATCACAGACCTGAAGCACAACCTGGTCTGCAAATAAATAATTTTTCAAGAAAATGTCCAATTTTTTATGGCTGTACATAAGGCATAAAGAAGATAATATAAACCAGTAATAAAGCCATAGATAAGCTTTTATTTTAAGCTTTAAAGATAACTTTTTTATTAAGCAGTCTTAATCAGCAGCACCCCCAGGGTTTCTAAAAAGTTTGAGATTTCAGCAGTTTTATTCTTGACAGTTTCAGTACCTGTCCAAATCAGCTGCTTCAAGGTTCTCACTTTAAGAAAGCAAGTTGCAGCTGGCCACGCCCACTCAGGCTGCTATAAGCTGAGAAGCTCCAATATCCAGGGGCTGCTCGAAGTAGAGCCATTGCTCGCACCTGCCTGCTGGTGAGAAGTCGTTCTATACTAATTTCCTCAGTTGTGATGTCACAAAAAGGGACTTTTTGAAACTGCTTGTTTTAGGCATATAATTCCTAAAACCCAACATTGACAGAAAACACATGGGCCAAGTTTTTTTTCATGTTTGAAGTGTTTCTAGAGCCAATAGAAACTTACATTGCAACACAAAAGGATGCTAAAGGGGAGTTTTGCATAATAGGTCCCCTTTAAGACCTAAATGTTGCTGCAACTTTTCTAAAATGATTCACCAAGATTCAGTAAACTATGTGCTTTTATTACCAGTGCATATTCAGAGAGGAAAAGAAAATGGTACAAGTAGGGTGAAAGAACTCAGACATATCCAAAAGAGGTGAACATTTGACTCCTAAAAGATGTTTTGGCTTCTATTTGGCAAGATGTCAAATGACCGATCAGGTGCATTAAAAACAGCAACTGAACTCTGAAAAGCTGAGATTGATCCTTGAATGTGAAACATGAATAAACTGTCTCAAATACAACCTCACGCCCTTCTGCTGTAGAACACAGAATGAACATGAGGGGGAGCATGAGCAACAGCAGCACTATCACTGTGATGAAGATGGATTCTGACACTAATCAGGCAGGTAACAAATGTTTTGCTTTGAGTGGATTTCTTAAGCGTTCGCAGGCTAATTTCATCTAATAAAAAAGTCATTCACTGCAGTATAGCTGTTTGTTATAAAGCCAAAAAACAGCAAATGTCTCATTAAAACAGAATTCATTATCCATCTCCATCAGATCTGTAACCTTTCAAATTAGATTTGTTTTTATTCAAAACCCTACCAATGTGTCCCTTCTTCATGCAAATGCATTAAAAATATAAAACATTGTTCCATTGCCACTTTAATCAAATCTGAATGCGTTTCCTGAGATATGTGCATTGTCCTCATTAGGTGACAGCAATTCACCGAATAAAGCTTTTAAACTAATATAGACAGAACATAAAATTATTTTTCATGGCATTGAAAATGAAAACACACATGGGTTAGCTGTGGAAACGAACATCCTTCTGGATAAACGCTGACCTACATTTTTGAGATGTTGGCAGATGCTGAATTCTGTTTTAGAGGACATTTTTTACCCTTAAAGGTTTAAAGTTTTGAAAGAGAAGAAGCACATAAAGAAAAACAAATTATAAAAATATATTTTACATGCTTGGCCACTATAAAATAAAATAAAATAAATTACCACTTTACATTGCTTTCCCCTTTAACATAAAAGTTATACACACAAAATATTGTTGTGCTGCTTACATAAGCATTTATATGACACTCATCTTTAATGCATGTGCTGGGTATGTTTCCAAAGCTCCCTTTTTAAGAGCTTCCACACATAAAGCCCGGGAGTCCTTCATCATCATCATCATCATCATCATCATGCTCTCTGAATAGGCAAAAAAAAAAACGTGTTTCAAAATCAAAGCACTTACATACGAAGTGATCTAATATATACAATGTACATTCATGTACAGTATATACAGTAAATACAGAAAATCAATGCACAGATGGTGATTAGAGCTTTATGATAGAAGCCAGTAAATGAGAACTTTTACATTTCACCGCTGGAGAGGCATAGCATTGTTCATTTCACTGTAAGCATTAACAATATCGGTGAAAAAAACAACTCATGTAAAGCTGTATTGTTGTCAATGAACTCAGAAAAAAAAAGAAATGTAAACTTCATGCAGGTTTTGGCTGGTTAAATACTTCAGTCTAAATTCTAAGGTGTCAGATATCACAGAAAACCTAGTTCTGTAGTAATCACACTAAAATGTGGTTGCACATTCTCTAAAACTTGTCTGTAGATTTCCTTGGTTTCAAAGGACGCTACATAGTAAAGGATCAACCTTCAATGCACATCGAAAAAGTTAAAACAGGATGGCTGTTGTGTCTGGCAAATATGCCGATGTGCACATCAAAAGGCTGTACTGGAAATTTCATTGCACCCAGTGGAATATATTTGTTGTGTCATCAGTGATCGCAGTGGTTGGGTTAGCCATCTCGGGTCTCTACTGCAGGTAGCGGTAGACCTTAAAGCAGTGGTTCCCAGAGTCCGCCACTGCCACATGGCCATCAGAGGTAAGGGCCAGGCCCTGGGGGCCATAAAGGGGGTCACCTGATGTGTTGATGTAGGACAGAAAAGACCCTGAGCTGTCAAACACCTGTAAGACAGGAAGACAGTTTAGGTAATTAGACAACATATACAAGGTAATATCTGGTGTGAACAAGATAATGTCTGGTGTGGACGAGATCATATCTGGCGTGGACGAGATCATATTTGGTGTGGATGAGATCATATCTGGTGTGGATGGGATCATATCTGGTGCAGACGAGATCATATCTGGTGTGGATGAGATCATATCTGGAGTGGATGGGATCGTATCTGGTGTGGATGGAATCGTATCTGGAGTGGATGGGATCGTATCTGGTGTGGATGGGATCGTATCTGGTGTGGATGGGATCGTATCTGGTGTGGATGGGATCGTATCTGGTGTGGATGAGGTCATATCTGGTGTGGGTGAGATCGTATCTGGTGTGGATGAGATCGTATCTGGTGTGGATGAGATCATATCTGGTGTGGATGAGATCATATCTGGTGTGAATGAGATCGTATCTGGTGTGGATGAGGTCATATCTGGTGTGGATGAGATCATATCTGGTGTGGATGAGGTCATATCTGGTGTGGATGAGATCATATCTGGTGTGGATGAGATCATATCTGGTGTGGATGAGATCATATCTGGTGTGGATGAGATCATATCTGGTGTGGATGAGATCATATCTGGTGTGGATGAGATCATATCTGGTGTGAATGAGATCATATCTGGTGTGGATGAGATCATATCTGGTGTGGATGAGATCATATCTGGTGTGGATGAGATCATATCTGGTGTGGATGAGATCATATCTGGTACAGACGAGATCATATCTGGTACAGACGAGATCATATCTGGTGTGGATGAGATCATATCTGGTGTGGATGAGATCATATCTGGTGTGGATGAGATCATATCTGGTGTGGATGAGATCATATCTGGTGTGAATGAGATCATATCTGGTGTGGATGAGATCATATCTGGTGTGGATGAGATCATATCTGGTGTGGATGAGATCATATCTGGTGTGGATGAGATCATATCTGGTGTGGATGAGATCATATCTGGTACAGACGAGATCATATCTGGTGTGGATGAGATCATATCTGGTGTGGATGAGATCATATCTGGTATAAACGAGATCCTGTCTGGTGTGATTGAGATTGGACCTGGTGCGGTAGAGATACAATCTGGTGCTCATGAAAAAAATCTGCTGTGTACAAGATACCAACTTTTTACCTGCTCACTTCCCCTTAATGGCTCCGTAGTGTTAGGTGAAATCTTTATTCATTCTTTTTTTTCCCAGAATTACCTGGATGCGACTGTTGCCCCAGTCAGCAACAATTATGTTTCCGTTGGCATCTACAGCCACACCTGTTGGTGCATTGAACTGGCCATTCCCCTCTCCATGGGAGCCAAATTTAAACAGGAACTCCCCATCAGCATTGTACACCTGTCAACAAGATTAAGCACAGTAAAGGCTAGGATAATGACACTGTTGCTAATAATAGAAAATGTGCATTTAAAACAGAAAGCAACAGTTAATCAGGTTCAACGGATTGAATGAATCCACCTTTTCTGGTTTTAACAGAACAAATCATTTTAACTTTACTGTGACCTAAAGTGTTCCAATATTTTGCAGAAACCCATACCTTGACTGAATGGTTATGAAAGTCTGTCACCACAATCTCATTTTTGTTATTTACAGCCACAAAGTGAGGACCTGAAAAAAGCAAAGCACACATAAAAAGGAAAAGAGAAACGATGAGTCATCAGATGCTTTGCAACGTGCAGGAGGAAGTTCCTCTCCTTTTCTAAACTCCTAAAACAAGATGAAAAAAAAAATTCACAGATAGAATCTAATAAAGATTTAGGTTATCAGTTCACTCTCACGGTGAAATGATTACTTACTGAAAACAGGGCCAGATTTACTTAGCTTTGATTCCAGTGCAATGTTTGCACCACTTTTCTCTAAAAGAAAACAAGAGGTTCAAGTGAGCAACGAAACTGAAAGAACGGGTGAGTTACAACTTAAAATAGTGCTTTAAGGTCCGGAAACACCAGGAATTGTCCTTTTACATAAACCTGAGGGATGCATTAAGAAACACATCACATTGCTTCATGCATTGATGTGTATTGTGAAACTATATGAAACTCCCAATAGCTGCTCTGTTTTACAGCTGACTGGGTGGGTGCATGTCTACAGTCTGAGGTGATTAAAGCAACAAAGGCAAACAAGTGACTGCGTGCTCATAAGTAAACAAGCTGATGAACATGCACACACTTATTAGACTCTAAATGAAAGGGTGTTCAAAACAAGGTGATTGCATAAACAACATTAAAATCCATAAATCTGGCCCAATCACATGAGCTGACACCAGCTCCTTTGTGTAACAGACATCTTTTCTAATCTGCACCCGTTACCTGCAAAGTGTCTCTCTGAAGTTCCCCTGGCTCCAAACTTAGTCACCAGCTTCCCGTTGGATTGGAAGATGAAGATGCAGCAGGCTTTATTATCAACAGTGATGATATGTCCGTTCTTATCTACAGCCACACCTTTGGGTCCCATCAGTCTTCCGGCACCTATTTTATTCTGTGAAAGCCAAATACATAGGAACAGAAGTCTTCATTTGTCATTGCACAACGAAATTGCAAGGCTGCTTCAGGTTCTGAACCTTCGATGTAAATTAAGAGTCAATTAAAAACACAGTTTAGAGACATTCCGGGTGTTTTGTTGCCCGTTTGCCTAACGTTTCTCACCTTGAACTTGCCATCTGAGGAAAAGATGCTGATCCATCTATTGTCGTAGTCGGCTACAATGATGTCACCGTTCATGTCTACAGCTACACCTGTGGGGCGCTGCAGCTGGCCTGGTGATCGACCTCTCACGCCAAACCTCATCTTAAACTGTCCATCATTGGAAAAGACCTGGAAAAATAGAAGAGTGCTCAGAATCTGAAATTAATGGGTTTTTTTTAAAGATGTTGTCACTTTAAATCACATATGTCAGACTCAAGGCCCGCGGAGCATTTTTATGTGGCCCGCGAGATAAATATCAAAAATATATTAAAACTGGCCCGCTGGCCGATTTTACCGCAAAGACTCCCCCTCCTTTGTGTTTTTTCCAGCGCCTGCTGCCGGGTGTCTGCAGCTCCGCTGTCTCGGACAAACTACACTCCTCTCACTCAGCGCCGAGTTCACTCAGCTATTTTCTGACGTTGAAGCCCAGAAACGGAGATTCTAGCCACTCAGTAATCTGTTCACGACTGAAAGAGAAAGTTTTCCAACTAACGTCCAGACAGAGCCGATATAACTCCAGCGAGCAGCGACACGCTCAAACCAGCACGACTCTGTGGCTGCTGTCGTGTTTCCTCCCCGACACACAACAACGTGGTCTAGCTGCTCAGACATGTTCAGCAGCACAAACGTATGTGAGCACCTGTTGTCATCTAATGTTGTCATTATTATGATGAAGGTGAACAAAACAACAGGAGTGTCCTCCTCAGCTCAGATCAACCCCATGATGCAGGTATCTGGCTGGAACAGGTGAGCATCACAGTAAACCAGTGGAGCAAACTGAGCTTTAAATATGTTAGTTTTATGCTCTTTTTCTGCTCCAAAACATGAAACTTAACAGGTGAGATGTTGCATTTTCATTTAAGATAAAATGATATTTTTTTGTTGTTGTTGGCCCGTGAGAAAAGATTTAAAAGATTTAAAGATTCAAAAGATTTTAAAAATGCTGATTATACCACAAGTAATGAATACCACTGATGCCTTTTATTTGTAACTGACTTGCTCGTGTGTAATTTGGTTATCCCACATTCAGTGTTAATGCAGAAATAAGTTTATTTCCAAATTTAAAGGTTCAAAATTGCATATATGTTGATAAAGAAAATGTGCAAATTTGCCGTCACTTTTTCAAAAAATATTAAGTTTGGCCCTCGACTCCGTCCCAGAGTTTCATTTCGGCCCCGCGTGAGTTTGAGTTTGACACCCCTGCTTTAAAGAATGCTCAACACAAACCTGTATACACTGGTTGTTGCTGTCTGCAACTACAATCCTCCCATTACTGGAGGCTGAGATGCCTTGAAGGTTTGTGAATTCTCCTTTGTCTCGCCCTCTTGTTCCTGCCAACACATCAGAGGGCTTCAGCGGTGAGACATCCTTGCAAGTTGTTCTTTCTGTTTAGTTTTTCACTCACCGACTCTGTAGATCAATTCATCCTCGATTGGGTTTTCCTTCTTCTTGGTGGTGCTGTACATGCTGGAGGGCCTGCGTACAGCCTTCTGTCGAACGTGACCTCCTCCTCCACTCGGTGACTTCACTCGTCTCTTTACGTCGTCTGGCGACTGCAGGACATCTGACGGCTTGACGGCACGCAAGCGGAATGGACTCCCCCGCACGGGCTGTTCGTATAACAGCAAAGCGAAGGTGAACTCTCCCTCAGATCGAATGGTATATCCCACCTCGTAGGTGCCGTTCTTGTTGTCCACCACCTCAGCTTCAGTGCGCACTCCATCCGCGGACACTATCTCTGCCCTGAGAGCAGCGTTCCCCGTTTTCACCAACTCTCCATCCTTGTCTTTAGTGGTGACAGTAATGGTGGTGTGGTGGCCAACCACGGCATGTCGCAGGCCTTCTCCGGTGGCGACACTTGTATGGCCAACTGCTCCGGTTGTGATGAGGACGCCCAGGTTCTGAATGGAGCGCTTCAGTCCATCCGTCTCGACCTGGCATTCCAGATGTCCGTTATCGTGAGGATGCTCGGGAAAGGTGTGTCTTGCCAGAGCACTGACGCGCTCGCCCATTTGTTTCTGAACCAACAGGACCTCGGTGGCGCTGCCGTGGCTGAGAGCATGCTCGGTGAAGTTGCAGCTGCTTTCGATGTTTTCTTTGCCTTGAAGTAAAGAGCTCAGCTGGGTCTGAAGCACCTAGAAAAGTCCAAGAAGACAAGCAGTGATATTTAAGCACTGAAAGGTGAGGAAGATTTTTGCGTCTTCCGGAGGTTTTCTGACCTTCTGCTTTCCACTGCAGATGTTTTCCACCTCAGTAATTAGAGCAGTCTTGCGCTGATTCAAGGTCTTTTCAAGCTCATCAAAAGTGTTACTTATTTCGGTCACTGCATCATTTTTCCTGTCTGTTAGCTGCTTCGTGATCTCATTTACGAGCTCTATGGCCGTCGTCAGCTGAGGTAGCCTGCCCAACACAGATGAAAATGTTTAAAACTTGATCTCGTTTTTCTTTCGGCCCATCTACAAATGTCCTTTTTTAGTTAAATCCCTGAGAGTCGTACCTGTTGCGCACCGTGTCAAGCTGATTTTTAAGAGCCGACTTGTGCTGCTCCAGCACATCCCTCAGAGGAACCGTCACATGTTCCCTGTGTTCCCCTTCTGTGCACTCCAGACACATGGCTGTCTCACATGACTCGCAGTAAAACTCCATCACCTGTAGATGGTGCAGTGGAACAAAAACCATAGAGGGCAAAAGTGGGTAAATGCTGTAAATGTGTGATGAATCATTAAAAGTTGGGTTTTTTTTTCTTACCTTGCCCTCATGGTTGGGGCAGGAAAGGGGCTGACAGGTTTTAGCCGCGGTGGCCGACTCGAGGACGCTGCACGCCTCGGCCCGACTGCATTCTGGATCTCTCTGTAACACTTCCATCAGGTTTGTGATGAAGAAGTTGTTCTGCAGGGCTGCAACCCCCTTTTCGGGCAAAATGGACGTCTGTCTGCATACTGGACAGGAAAGCGTCAAAGACTGGGGAGGGATGTAGTTCTGCAGACATCTGCGACACAGAGAAATCAAACTGTGAATAACAGTCTGAAAGCTCAGCATTATCGTCATGCGTCACAGAGAGCTTACCTCTCACAGAACGTGTGCAGGCAGGGCAGAACCTTTGGGTTGTGATAACGGTCCAAACAGATGCTGCAGACCAGGAACTGCTTGTCTATCTGCCTGACGACAGGGCTGGTGCTGCTGGTCTCACGCTTAGCCATAATGACTGACATTCAAAAGCGGAGTGGGGGGGACCAATTAGCCTGCACATATGAATTGGAAGAAACAGAGGAAGTGTTAAGAAAAACCCTGAAGGAAACAGTCACACAGGGCGAGGAGAGCGCATTTGCTTGAGCAAATGGAAAACATGAGTCATCTTTCTGTTGGCATTATAAAAACCTCCTTTAAATTCTGTATTCTCTGACTTTTTGTGCTCTCAGAAATTATGTCAGCAGTGGGAGCCTCTGAGCCACAGCTCACATGACTTCAGGACTAAAGAATCTCCCTGTGATGGAAAAACGAAGCATGTGATCATATCCGTGTCTCAACATCCGTGGGCTTTAACCGGCCAATCCTTTGTTTCACTGCTGCTTGTATTTCACCCTAAAGAGAGTCATTTTATGATTCACCTGACGTTCAGACCAGCTGATGTCATGCTGGGTCTCTGTCGTCATATGAAACTGTATCACCGGGTCAAGCACAGATTAGGTCAGCACGTCTATGGCGCGGCGTACATCTGTAATATTGCACGGAAGCACAAGAGACTAAATAAAGTAATATAATGTACACTGAGGTTTTGGTAAACAGATGAACATAAAGGAGGATTTTGTGTCCATTATAATTTTTCTGCAACATCAGAAGGAAAACACCATGGATCATTAGGTTGTGGTGAAAACAGCATGGTTGGAATCACGGGTCCAAACTCAAAGCAGCCTAAAAACAAGAAAAGCTTTTCTTTAACTGATTAGGATTCAGCCAGTGTATTACTTTGCAGGAATGGGAATGCATCCTTTTTCTAAGAAATACTTCAAATTCAATTGATCAGAGCAAGTAATTGTGCAAATTCAATCAATTTGGAAATGAAAGTATTGTGATCACAGCATGCAATTGTAAATTAAAGCTGGGGTGCATAGTTAAATGTTATTTAAATACCTGTAAAATGATGAAACTGCACATTCTTACAGAAGAGGACTAAGGCCACTGAAAAGGAAAAAAAAAGAAAAGAAAGAATTCTGACATTTTTTTTGTCAGAAATCTGACTTATTTTCTTATAATTCAGATTTTTTTCCTCATAATTCTGACTTAAATCTCTGAATTCTGGCTTCATTAATTCTGAGAAAAAAAGTCAGAGTTCTGATCAAGCCCCCACAATGCGGCGGGAAAATTGAAGCCAACCCAGAAATGAAATAAATTGCAGTTCCACCCTCATCCACCGGGGGCTGGTGTCAGAAGCGAGCAAATCCTCATTGACTCCCATGTTAAAAAATACCATTTCACAGCAGAAATAAACATGTTTACAGCCTGGTACCAGAACATGTTTTTTGTCTAAATTATCTAGTTTCCACTCATGACAACTCTGAGGGGGCTGAATTTTTTTCTCACTCTTCTGTTTAAGTGTATTAAAAGCCTAAAATTCTGTATAATTAATGAGCATCAGACCCACGTGACCACAGAGCTAGCTCCGTGGAAAGGCCTCAGTCTGAGCCTCGGCCTCGCCTGAAAACTGTTCGGTCATTTTCAGTCTCTCAACTTAGACCATTAGTTGTAGCGTTTGTGCGTTCTTTTTTGGAAATTATTTGTGCAATTGTTGGACAAAATGACTCCCTGTGGCATTAATTGCACTAACAGAGCGTCCAAGGATTCTCTCATTTTTTTTCGGTAAGTAAAATTATATTCATGTATTTTAGGTCACTGCCGAGCTGAGCTTGGATTTTAACATGTACTGTTTAACCATGAAATCTAAATGTAATAGGTTAAAACCCAGTGCATTTAACATATTGCTGCACTTTAGAAAATGGGTTGAAATATAACATGTTGGTGGAGCTGGGTTCCGACTATCGGCTTGTGGAGCTCTTAGGAGACCGATGTTTTCCACCCATTTCTCCCCTCCCCGCAGCTCGGTGCATCTCTGTCTGATTGCAGCTTCTGTCTGCTGCACGGGCTGCCGGCTTGTGGAGCTCTGGGATGGAAACCTTTCCACCCGGTTCTCCCCAGCGGCAGCTCTGCGCATCTCAGATCGCAGCAGCGCTTGTCTGCTGTGCGGCTGCCAGCTTGTGGAGCTCTCGGGAGACCTCTGTGTTCCACCCGGTTTTACCCAGTGGTCAGCCCGGCGTATCTCTGACTCAGAAGCTCTGGTGTTGTGCAGTTAACTCCGGTTGTAGCTAGGTTGCTACCTCCGTTAGCTTAGCTTCCACCTCCGCTTTAGCTTTGGGTTAGCTTCAGGTTAGCTTGTAGCTAGTTCGACCGGGTGTCGTCAGTTGATCCCAGCCTTACAGCCACACCCTCAGCTCCACCTCTCTTCCCTTTTGTGGAATTGTCTGGACTTGACGGAACCTGTGACACGGCCAAAATGGCGGTGGTGGCCACCTCCCATTTAGCCTCAAAAACGTGTTATTGGAGTCTATGGAAACCCATTGTCCAATATTTATATGTCAATGGTTCTGATAAAAACGTCAGAATTCTCTTTCTTTTAATTTTTTAAAATTTCTTTTCCGTGGCCCTAATCCTTTTCCGTACAATCCCAGTTTTATAATATAAAATTTGTAATATTTCATGATTTATATTTCCAAGCCCCTCTTCTGGCCTCTAATGCAAAATGAATCGTTTACGTAAACCTAGAGTGATGACCAATAGAGCTGCATATCCACTAGAGGGAGCTGTTAATCAGCAATAACACGTCCCAGCCTGCTTAGAACACCAACAAAGAAGAAAAAGCTGGAGGTTTGCAATGAAGCAACAAGAACAGAAGTTACATATTAAATCTAAAAAAATATGTAAACAGTTAAAAAGTTTTTCAGCTAAACTCACCATGAGACATTCACAACAGTCGAGGAGACATTTTCAGTGGAGACACTTTTAACTCATTCACTGCCAATGACGACTAAAGTCATCATTTGCATTGTTCACTGTGTGGGCATCGGAACGAGCTCCCGCACCGTGAGAACAAAACATCTCAGCTCTAAAGCCGATCTTCATCCGCATACGTCACATGTCACGAGATCAGGAAGCAGAAAATCCATGAGTTAGGAGATCGTTTTGGGCCGCTGCTGTAAAAGAAGTGAGGCGCAAACTAGGGATGCTCCGATCAGGTTTTAATTTGCCGATCACCGATACCGATCAGCCAAGAGGCCGATCATGGCCGATCAGCCGATTACCGATACCATTTACATAGATTGGCTGTAAATTGTTCATTTAGCTATGGTGAGTTCTAATGCATGTGTTACATATTAATTCAGAAAAAACATGGTTTTACTTCACTTCAAATTATGTAATATCAGTAACAATTTATATGAAATTGAAAACATTAAGGCTCTCTTTAGGCTACAAATAGTGCAAAAAAAGTCAATATCTCACATCACCGCCTAAATCAAATTAAGTAGCCAAGGATACATTCAGATACATCCAGTGAGCTGTTAAGCTCAGCACTGACACAGGACTGACATCTGAGCTCCAAATGTCACTTGTGAAACTCACAGAGGATGAAACGCTTTCTTTAAGGAGTCCCTCGATGAAAGAATACACTGTCTGGTGGAGCTCTGGAAGGGCTACGTCGGCGAAATATTTACGTCCCCGTAGCATGTAGCGAGGTTCCAAGTGGGTTAGTAGTCGGCGGAATCCGGCATCTTCCACAACTGAAAAAGTCTGGTCGTCTAGTCCAATAAACTCGATGATTTTACGGGTAATTTGCTTAGCTTTTTGACTGTCACGCTCATATGGGCGAGTGTTTCCAAGCGTCAGCTGCGTTAGCTGCCGTCTGACTGTGGCTGCAATAGCAGGCTTCTTTTCATTGTCTGCGGTGAGCCTCATAAACTCACCATGCTCCGCCAAGTGTTTAGTCTTTAAATGTCGGATCAAATTCGTTGTGTTGAATTTTTTTGAAGTGCTTCCTCCGCGGGGTATGTTTTCGTTGCAAGTGTTGCAACACGCAAACTTAATATCACTCTCGCACACCGTAAAGAAGTTCCACACGGCAGACATGTTTGTCTTTGCGGGTTTGCCGCCACGCGCATGCGCAGTAAGCGGGGAGAAGCAGAAGGGTGAACTACCGGCCGGGAAGAGTAAGCGCCAGTGCCAGATCGGAAATGAAAGGCAGTGATCGGCGATCACAGATCACACACTTTTGCAGGAAAATCGGCCGATAATTATCTGTGGCCGATCAATCGGAGCACCCCTAGCGCAAACCAGAAAAGCTTCTGCCGATCACAATTCAACAACGGAACAATGAAAGAAGGGATAAAGCTCAAAACACGTGTATTCTTCCTGATGTAAGAGGTGAGTCTCCGCTTTGTTTTGGTTGTTTTGGCGTCGACATCATCCTAGCGCGCAACGTTCTGTGACTCTTAGTGAAAAACACTGGCAGGTAAGAGCTTTACCAATCAGGAAATGGCTGGCAGCGAAAGAGTTAAGATGGAGGAAGCTACAAGGGTTTAAAACTAGGAATGGACAATATATATGTTAGTCATTTTTTAACATATCGGTATCTGTCTGATAAATAACACAGAGCCGATATTAACAACTGATATTTTTTCCATCTCGTCTCCATTTGTTTGCCTGTTTCAGAGGGTGGGGGGTGGGTGTGTGTGTAATTGTTTAATCATGTGAACAGTGAATGAAATCATCTCAGAACCGTAAATGTGTGTGCTGTGTGTACATAATAACGTAAATTCAGATTTAATCATTTTTTATTCTATACAAAATCTGCTGATTCTAGAAGCATTCATGTCAGTATATCGGTATCGACAAATATTGGTTATCAGCCATAAAAGTGATCTTAATATCGGATATCGGCCCAAACATTTCAAATCAGTGCATCACCACTTAAACTGATGACGAGTTGGCCAAGTTTGTTTTGGGCAGGTAAACTAAGTTATTGTATTTTAGAGAACTGTAACAATGGACTAGCATAGAAATCTAGAAAGACAGTCGCCAAAGCAAAATGATTTTGCTCTGCAGGTCGGTCTAGCTATGCTCCAAAGGAGCCTCTGCAGACCTATCATTGGTCTAAGGAGTTTTGTATTATGCCAATCACATGGCGGACTGATAC